AATTTTGGGATTAGGTCTATTATTAGAGCAGTACTAATATCATAGTAGATCATAATTCTACATTGGTAAGCCCGACTAGAAAAACGCAACCTATTATTATTAATCCTTATTTCCACTTCAACTTTCTCGATCGATTTTATATTTATGTTAACACTGTATTCTAATAGTCCTCTGATTAATGCTCACATGCATTATCGTAATGTTATATTGATTAGTCCTCATGACAAACTAGCTCAATCGATAATAAAAACTGGTCGTCTATATTAACTAATTAGCTTTGATGATTTGTTAACAAGCTGTGATAGCATTTACATGCTTCAGCGACATAGTCTTGTTTAAACATCAAGCTCTAGCAAATATGACCTGTAAATAGCGTAAATATACATTGACTAACAATGCAATCAAGGACTAAATAGTTATCTGGATCTAATTCTCACTGTTCCTTCACTTAACACCTCATCCTGTTATAAACTACGCACTATCCTGTAATATCTTTTCTTCCGACCACTGCCTGCCTAATTTCAAATTCTCGAGTTCCATTGCCAAACAACAAGGATGACACTTCTCCAAAAACATACGATGGTTCATTCAATGGCACACACAATTATCTGGATTCATTCAGTTGTTCTGATCCGAGCGAGTCCCAAAACCCTCAACAGCATCAAGCACCCTGTAAGTGATTGCCATACTGCATGTTTTATTCTGGATGCTTTTGGATCAATACTACTCACGAATGGCGTTATATATGTCGTCCACTGAATAATCTAATTTTCAAAAATAATCAAGGCGAGTTCAACTATTTTACTGGATGATTTTTTTGTACTTAACATGTATATGTTTTTCAGTTGCTTTTGCCATATATTTGTAAGTGTCACTAAGCTAAATGCAGTAACTTCTTATGGAAGGTTTATAACGCATCATATTCCTGCCTGAAGTTTCACAAGCAGTCTAAACTTTAAAATTATTTTCTGGTCATGTTCATTATTTTTAAATCGTCATATACGTCAACAACCTGCATGTTAACCTGGCCCATACATACGTTACACTATATCTCCATGTCTTCTAAATTTAGGAATCATCCGAATCGCCTTTAACATTTATCAATAAACCCATCATAGTCGTTGTTGCTAATCATATTTAGGTTTATGGATTGGTGTATCATATTAGCAGCCTAAAATGCGAACATAGTTTAGATAATAAGATTAAAAATTTAGGTACTATTAACTGCACTAGTAAAATAACTAAATCCCTAGGTGGCTGTTGGCTAAACAAACGTTTAAAATCAAAACTCCGTAGCCTACTAGAATTAACACTAAACGAATCTTTCTGAATTAAAATTTATAATTAAATTAGGCGTCTCAGATTCTTTAACGTTACAAATTTCTGATAATTTCGAACCACGTAAAGCAACAATACCTATTTTTCCACTGACTAATCCTCATTCAACACTATAACTAGTTAAACATAATAGTTTCAGGATATCGTCATAAAGCATTGTTATAACTTGACAATCACGTAATGATTTATAAAATTAATGAAACTATTAACAAAATCGGTCAGCAAATTGACTTATAATTATCACTAGTGTTGTTTTTCTTTTATCTTCATTCACTACAGATGATTACAGTAGGTTTCTCTATCAGCTGCTCATTCAGTAAATATCTCAAAACCTTGTCAGTCTAATTGATGGTTTAGCGACACAATCATGCATGCAAATAATCAGTATAAGCAGTCGAGTAAATCTCCTGCAAACTGAAAACATCAATGTCGAATTTACCCCAACACTGACTAAGGTTCAAGCCATTATCATAGACATGAGTTGGGAGTGTACTCCCCCTGGTTACAACTTATGTTCTCCCTGATAATCACATGAGCATCACTAACTATTAATCATCTTGTAAAAACTTATTTAGCTAAATACATTTTGCAGCACAACATCACTTCGTAATATGACACAGGTCTAACTGATTTTAATAACTTGTAACCACTATATCTCAATTAAATCGTGTTCCGCCTTATGATAAACTGCATACTTGCAACTATCTTGTATGCCCAATCAGCCGGCAAGTATAAATATAAATAAATAGTCTATCGCAGATCAGAACATTGAGTCTAGAGCATGTCTCTTACGAACACACTCATGTTTAACGATTTTTCCTAGCTATCTGTCCAAAATCCATATAATTATCACTCATGTATTTAAATTTTGTTCTGATAACCGTTCATGTGTATTAGTAGTATTACTAAATTCTATCACGGTCAAGTAAAAATGAGGTTGAAAAAATCTCCCCGTAACTAAATAAACCGTATCAAACTAACTGGAACACTAGTTGGAATTCTTCTCCACGGTATACTTTTGTTCCTTCAGTTAGCCTACTAATACAGATGCAATTGGAATTCAACTCATATGGACAACTTACCGGCATAATCGTTATCCGATTTCATAATTTAAACCAAAACTAATACCAATATTAACATTTCTACAATATTCATTATTTTAATATTTCTAAACACAAAATAATTACTGCCTATAAGTTAATTTATTAACACGCATCGTTTTATTATTATTATTATTGTAATCCCATTTTTTATAGTTCAAATAATCTTCAACCAAATTTTCATTTTAAGCGTGTTAATCATGAAGGCAGATATTTTAAAATTATTACATGTATTTCCCCACCAGATGCTGCCGCTTTCTTTTTGATTTATCTTTCAGCTTACCAATACCCGGAGGATTCTTATTATCCTTGGTAACCTCCGGCGCGCGACGATCCCATCCAATTTGGTATCGAACCAACATCACGTTGATTCTGGTGGGAGAGTAGTGTAGTGGCATTGGACAATAGCCACACAATCCACAAAGCTGTGAACACGAGACTACTCAGAAAATAAATATTCAATATTTAACGCCGAGAAATACCTAACAATGGAGAAGGCGCGAACAATGAATTGAATGGACTGGAGTTGATCGAGTGGCATGGCTCGGCCATGCAGGCGTGGTCCCTGCTGGATATTATCCTATATCTCATTCATATTAAATATATTGTTCTTTCTCTATCCTAACCTTGTTCCTCATCAGGTATTGGTAATTGATACGATACAGTGAGTTGGTGTAGTCAATGGTGTGACTTCCACGTAAGATCTTATAGATTAGGCAGTTATATCATGACGAATCTACAATTTTGGGATTAGGTCTATTATTAGAGCAGTACTAATATCATAGTAGATCATAATTCTACACGTCAACACCTGAACTAAGGATAGGGAGTGAAGTAGTCGAACGCGTTGACAACCTCACATATCTTGGAAGTCTGATCAGCATTAATGGGTTGGTGTCTGACGAAATCTCAACACGGATTCGAAAAGCCCGTTTGACTTTTGCCAACTTACGTCACCCATGGCAAAGGCAAGATATCCGTTTATCAATAAAAGGACGAGTATACTGCGCGACAGTCCGTTCTGTTTTAATTTACGGCAGCGAAACATGGCCATTAAGAGTAGAAGACACTCATAAGCTACTAGTATTTGACCACAGGTGCCTCAGAAATATTGTTGGCGTCTGCTGGGATCACCGGGTAAGTAATAGTGAGGTTAGACGCAGGGTATTAGGGAATGATGTTAAATCAATTGATGAGGTTGTGAATCTTCATCGACTGAGATGGTTGGGCCACGTGTTACGTATACCCGAACAACGATTACCACGATGTGCAATGCTAATCGGTGTTCGGGATGGTTGGAAGGAAGTTAGGGATGGCCAAACCAAAACGTGGCATTAGTGCTTGAAGTCACTAACTTCTAGTCTGAGCCATGTTGGTAGATGCAGACTACTTGGTTGAAGTCGGCGTGACTATCACAACCAATGGCTGGAGACTCTTGGTGACATGGCTCAGAATCGATCACAATGGCGTCGGTGTTTACACTCTTTATTTTCCCTTAAACTAAGAGATTAAAATCGCTTCATATCTTTCTTTCTACGAACTAATTCTTTCTTCCTGTACTATATCCTTATAGCAATCTTTCTTTTATATATTACCACCTCTGAATTAACTACTTTTATGAATCCGGTGTCCATCTTGTTTTGTTAATGAGGTATGGCAACTTGGACCGATGCGTATATGTGCCTGGTCATACGTTGTAGCTGACTTACTGACTGCTTGTAAACTGGCATGCCTCGTGTAACAACCCGTTATTTGAGAATAAATTATTATTGTTATTGTTACCATAGGACTTTGACGAAGAGTTCTGTGATTCATAAAGGTAACCTTTTAATGAATAATTTGAAGTCAAGTAACAAACTTATTTGAGAATAAATTATTTTTCAGTTTACTTCATATGTACAGCACATTTCTGGAGCAAACGGTGTTTCTGCAGACTCTTTGTTTCTTATAACGTCCTTGGGCAGTTCCCAAAGAATCGACCTTTCTAAACTCGCCCAGCTTCAAAAAGAAGACATCGATCTTCAGCACGAGTTATCGTCAACAACCCCTAAGCTGAGCATTAAACAGTTGGGATTAGGTAAGGAAACCCTCTACTGTGCGACACATCTACATATTGGGATCACTCAATCTTGCCGAAACATTATCGACGCAACGTCCTGAACATGTTGCACAGACGTTCTCATCCAGGTGTTCGTGCAACCATCAAGCTCATAGTAGAACGGTTTTGCTGGCCTGGTATTGATAGAGACGTGAGGGAGTGGGCTCACTCCTGCGTAATCTGTCAGAAATCTAAGGTTATTAGACATGACCAATGTCCCTTAGGCTCAGTTGCAACTCCTGATGCTCGTTGCGACTATGTCCATCTGGATTTGGTAGAATATTTACCTGATTCAAATGGATACTCTTACCTCTTAACCTCAATGACCACTCAATGACCAGAAGCAATACCTATCAAACGAATCACCCATACTGAACGCGGTCAAAAATATGACGTAGTTTTTTATTTAAAGAAGTTACCTCAAAACAATTCATTAGTATAGTTTTTAATGGACATATTGGATATTGAAGTGTTTTATCAGTCAACTGAACACGATAACGTTGACATTTCAGCCTCATTGGGGATATTTAAATTGCTTGCTAGTTATCATGTTCTTTACTGTTTTATTTTTGGCTTATATGTTTAAATTTTCACAACCTCTCTCATGCCTTGATGATGATGGTCATGCAGTCGACTGGTAAAATTATCATGTTTATAACATTTTCCAAGGTTTGTCGGTTACAAATTACCAAAAGGTTACGACGTTGTGTTTATGAACGCTGATCGGAGGAACTGGCAGCTATCCAAATTCCCGATAAATGAAAAAGGAATGATGAAAAATACGTTCGAATCCATGTTCGATTTGATTGATAAGCCTGATTCTGTGATCGGGATGTATAACGATGAGATTCCTAAATTGACCAAGCCATTAGGTTATGATCGAGAGAACTTATGGTGGGGTCATATGAAAGGTATGTGTGGCAAATAATAGCATTTCGTGCAGGTGCATTTGCTTTCGATTACACGGATACGGGATTTTGGGTTATTCACAGTATACCAAAGTTGTCATATACGAATCTATCATATGTTTACCCAAAGACCGGATATACATATGGTCAACATTTCCTGTGCGTAACTTTGGAAAAGAAATACCTCGAATCTCTGAGTAATTAATTTAGAATTTTGGTGATTTCATTTAATACTCAAACATATATTTTGGCGAGACTATAAAATTTAGACGGACCAATAGAATCAGTGATAGCTTGCCCTAGATTTTGTTGTGAAATTCATCCATCCATGTAGTTTACTAGCATCTTGGCATTATAATTGGTGTCATTTGGTGATAATGACCCTTAGTTTTACTCCCGACCATAAATTCTAACTTTCAACTTTGTAGCCCTTTTTTGACCTTAGTAAGTAGGGAGTTGTCTGAGCTGAATTGCTTAAGGACGTCCACAAATTATAATCCCACTGTATTTTTTAGTTCAATAACTTCATTTCTTATAGATAACTAGTTAATTATGAGATACAAAAAATCAAGTATATTTTCTGTAATTCGGTATTTACAGCCTGTTAAGGTACCAAGTGAACTTTTAGGTGATTGTTTTGTACACCTTAAATAGGTACACAGATAAATGCAGTTAAGCACAGATAAAATCGGAAATGGTTTCGGAGAAAACCCAACGATTATTAGGGTTGGTAAGGACAAATTTATTAAGATGAACAGATTAACTAATAGGATTAGAAACGTCCATCTGTCCCATGATTTGTTTGGTTTTTCATTTACTTAAAATAGCAGAAATTTACATAGGGATATAATAAAAGGGGCTAACCACACATTAAATCCTCTACGTTGGAACATATACCATCATTCATATAAACCTCTGAATAACTATTGGACTCACTGTAGGTTTTTCTGTGTAGTGAGTGAACTGGATGCTACCAAAGACTTGGAACAACTTATTATCAAGATACTACAGCAAATAAATTGCTTAATCTGTACAGGTTTGCTACAAATATCTTGTACGTTGGAGAGAATCTAGGTAAATTGCTTACCTTCCGTAGATTGTACTTGAATTCAGACGTGTGATTTTATAGTGTAAGGACGGGTGTCTGTGTTTCGTCTTCTTTTGAGTGAGTCACTTGATGGCAATAACAACACCTTTTTCGGCATTTGGTCTCGAGAGATGAATATTCTTCCGGAAGTCCTTTGAAACACATTGTATTTTCGTCATTTGTTTTAAAACTCATCTGATGTGTCTGTGTTATTCTGACTTATTTGTAAGAACAAAATAATCTACCAGGTTTAACATAACTTATCACCATTCTGTATTTCATTATAAAGTTATCTGTTGATCTACAATACGAAAGTGTAAAACAATCGTAACTTTTCAGGTCTTTTGTTGTAAAAAATGTCATGTATGGTTAGATTTACGTGAGCAACAATCATTTATATTTCTTTCAAGAAACTTCATTTACCTATTTAGCATAATCTTGAAGTTTGTACACAGGTTTTTAGTGTGAATCTTAACAGAAATGTAACAACATTGATGGAAATATTATTGTGCGTCTTCGTAAAAGTTAATCTTAGTGACCATAATTTTCTAAACCTGGATATTGGACCAAACGTCAGTGAATCCTGACATCCAAGGGATAACTTACTATAACTCCCAGATTATTACGATTCAAGACTGAAGGCAAGGATGTTTTTCCAGTTTTATAGTTAGTGCTGCCTATACTCCGATTGGGTATGAAAACGCAGCTGCCTTGATAGGTACTTACCATATCTAAAGTCAGCTTATCTGGAACTTGAAACCAACATGTAGTGTACGCACATCGTGATTCATTCTACTGAGAAGTTACTTTATTATCTAAAATTCAGTTCAATTGAGGCCTTATGTCAATTATTCGGTCTTGTAAGCAGTTATTACTCGACCACAGTGTATCATTCTACATTAATAGTCAGTTGGTGCATTTCATTCAGTGTCAAATATGTAGTGGATAATTTTTTAGTTCTGTTCTTTGGATAAGTGACTTTTTAGTTCAGCACTAAAATACACTAGCTGAGTAACATTCCGAATATTGTTGTAACAGAATAGTTACGAAACTTACACGACTCAGTTACTAGGACTGTAGCTCAGTTGATCCTGTTGACATTACCTCATCTAGACAGCTTAATGCCTTTAGTACATTGTGCTAGTTAACGTCTACAGTAAGTAAACTATTTCGTGACATTGCTTTTTGAAGTAATTCTATGTTGAGAGAGGGCTCACAAGTGACTACATTTCCAAGTTGGCTGTTAATACTATCTGACTTGCATTCGGCCCATTATATCACGCATGCAATAATTAATTGGATGAAATGAAAACGATGGGCATTTTGACTTGTGAAAACACGTTTCCTTTGGAAAACTAAGTGATAGAAACCTTGGGTCTCTCAATGTCAATATATACAGTGTAAAAACAGGGAAATAACTTGAGTGGTGTGTTGTGCAAACGTTGCTGCTGTTTCTGATATGAGTGATAAAAAACCTGGTGGCTGATGTTGCCTTTACATACAGTCATGGGCTTCGAAAAGAGTGATCACTCTTTACTAGTCTGGAAGTCTCTGGAGACGATTGGAAGAATAAATTGGATGTTGCTTTTCTTGATTGGTCATAATTTATTGATCTGTTTCCACTTTACGCAGTTTGTGGGAACTCAAGGACTGTTACCATCCTTGATAAATGTTTTTGTTATATGAGGATGACTTTACACCAAATACTTTCTGACGGAAGGTTTTGTCGGGTCATATAGTGTTACCACGTTTATTTTTTCATGTTTGTGAGTGGTCAAATCTTTTGTTCACTGACTCGTATGTTAATGTAGTTAACATGGTACTTGAGAGTAGCATTAAGGCGACCTTTGTTAACTTCGAATTGAAATGAAACCCGCTAGAATCAATACACGAAATAATACTGTTCTGATAATTCATATTGGTTTATCAGCGTGGTGTACAACAACAAAAACTAGTACACCTTAACATTTATGTGCAGTATGGATATCCCTACTTTTCATTATTTTTCGTGTAAAAGAAAGTCTATTTGGTTGAGATTATTAGTGTTAAAAATTTCCACAAAGTATCACTTCTCTCCAATAGTTGTAGAGGTACGTTTTTGGTATCTGGTAATAATGTGTAGTTCATTTCATTTTTAATTTTTTGGATAATTCTTATGCATTTAAAAGGGTTTTTAGCATTATGCAACATCATTCTATCATTACCGGTTAATACATTACATTCACCCTTATTTGATTTACTTTTTAAAATGAAATAAATGAGACAATATAATTTATAGGTCTAGTAGAAGCTACTTTTCTGGACTTTCATTCACATTTATCTCCTCAAGCTTTGTGGTATTGTACGCAGTTTCTCAAAATCGGATTAGATTAACTAAGTCTAAACTTGTTACTCACTTGCTAAAAATTAATTTTCTGTAACGCTCAGTTTTTGTTTACCACTTTTTCATCTCAAATATCCGTTATGCTGAAATGTTCTTTGTGTTTCATCTGATAGTCACACAGTTTGCTGTAGCTCGTCCATTATTTCAAGGTGCATATATTTCATCCAGTGTAAAGTCAGAGTTCCCAGATTTGGCGAAATTACTTCAGAATCAAAAAGTGCTTACTGTAACACTAAGTAGAGTCATTGAAATGCAAACAGCTAAAAGTTCTTTTCAACTAAATCATTTCTCAAAATCATCGGATTTCGGTAAAGGTTAGTTATACATAGTTATGTAATGTAATCATTTTTTCAATGAAAATTTAAAAAAAATTTGGAATCAGTGCGTGATAAGTATGCTTAAATTTATTTGACGAAAATTGAAGTTCGTTATATGACTAGTTGATATTATTCTAGAACTTTACCAAATATCTCAACAGAGTATTTTGTTTAACTTGTAATAAAATAAAATACGTTCATATGTGATTTGATTATACAAATTATATTATTCAACATGAGTGATATAGTAAGTACTATTACAATTCATTTAGTCCCATTAAAACACTATTTTTGAAATTTCTGTTGCTTGATGAAATACTTATTGTTGTTTTCCTAGATAAGATTTCAGTTAATTGCTAGGACACAACGTTACGCAAGTTTACTATAATGTATTTACCTTTAAATTCGATATTCCACTTTCTGTTTATGGAAATGCTCATCTTACTAACATATAACTGACATTTATAGAGAAGTTATACACCTTAGCTGGTTTTCAACACAGTGATCTACTTTGGAATTCCTCAATCTAATCATATCCAGCTAACTTGAAGTAGGATTTCACCTTATTAATGAAATTTCACAACACCCTCTCATCCCAACAGAAATAGCGGACAAATATTCCAATAATATGAACGTTTTTTTATTTCAGCTCGAACGGTTGTGTAATATCTTATGTCGAATCGTGACATGATTGATTACGGTTTGTCAATCAGTGTTTTCATTCACTCGTTTTTATCCGGTTTTGTTAAATTTGTTCTTTTGAACGTAAATTTGTTTTTACTACCTTGATATATCTTCTAGTTCAGTTAGGATATCCACATGGTAGTAATCTTTCACTCGAAATTCTGAAAACTTAGTCATTGGAATGATTTAAAGAAAATTGAGGACATTAGGCATCCATTCAGTACGCATCAGATACAGTACAGTATTATACACCTCGTCTTTAATAATATCTGATTTAGTAGTTGATGATGAGATCAGTCAGTCAGTAACAACGTAGAACTTCGTACGTACGTACATCAACTCGACTTTCCATACCACATCAGCACAGAGATGCAGTTGTTGATTCAAATACTGTAGTGGTAGAGATAGTAAGAGTATAAGCAGTAGTCGGAAACATTAGGGCTTGAAGATGTTATTCAAGGAGTATATTCCAATGAGATAAATTTGGAAAAAGGGACATGAAAAATTCAGGAAATTAGAATTTGGGAGAACACAAAGAGTGGATGCATCTGCGCCATTGTAAAAGATTTTGAGCCATTTCATTCAGGGTCTCTAACCATCGGTTGCTATCATCTCGCGGTCCCCAACCATGTAGTCTACACCTACCATTCGTCAGTGACTTCATGGATTTGTGCCACGCTTTGGTCTGGTGGCCCCTAGCTTTCTTCCAACCTACACCTACACCGTAAAACATCGCACGTCGAGGCAGTCGGTGGTTAGGGATACGTAACACATGTCCCAGCTGTCTCAACTGATGAGGTTTCACTACTTCATGAATTGATTTGCCATCCTTACCTAGTACCCGTGTCCTAACAACTACATTACTTACACGATGGTCCCATGATATACGAGCAATATTTCGAAGACACCTATGGTCAGATACTAGTAACCTAGGTTTATCTTCTACTCTTACCGGCCATGTTTCACTGCTATAAAGTAGGACGGAACGAACTGCTGCGCAGTAAACATGTCCTTTGGTTGATATGCGGATATCTCGCCTACGCCATGAATGACGCAAGTTGGTAAAAGCTAGTCGAGCCTTCTGTATCCGTGCTGAGATTTCGTCACACACCAGACCACAAGGACTGATGAGACTTCCCAGATAAGTGAAGCGCTCGACACGTTCAACTACTTCACTCCCTATCATTATTTCGGGTGTCGATCCAACCCAATGCTGAAGCAACATTTCGCATTTCGAGGAAGAGAATCGCATGCCGAACATGCTTACATTGTTGCTTATAGTGATCAGAAGACTGCATTTTGTCAGCGTCTTCACCAAATAGAACGACGTCATCAGCATATTCTAAGTCAACAAGTGAATCTCCTGGTAGAAGTTCAACCCCTAGAAATCTAGACGAGGAAAGTGTTATCTCTAGAAGCACGTCAACAACAAAGTTAAACAAGAATGGAGAAAGTGGACAGCCCTGACAAACACCACTTGAGGTAATCAATTCTGATGACAGTTCGCCATAAGCTCTCACTCGACCACTTGTGTTCGAGTAGAGAGCCTATATAAGGTTAATGTACTTCTTAGGTACTCCTTTCAGTGACAAACACTGCCACAGAACCTCACGATCATCAAAGTCGAACGCTGCCTTAAGGTCGAGAAATACTATGATTGTGGGGCGTCTGAATGTATGTCGATGTTCTAGGACCTGACGTAGTGTGAATATCTGGTCTATACAACCACGTCCAGGTCGAAAACCAGCCTGGTTTTCTCTAGTCTGCTCTTCACGAGCTTTAGTTAGGTGTCGAAGTATTATTGAAGCTAATATTTTAGATACTATATTTGTCAAACTGATTCCTCTGTGATTGTCACAAGAGGACTTTTGTCCTTTCTTATAGACTGGCACAATCAGTGATTGAGACCAGTCAGATGGGATTACGTCCAGTTCCCAAATTCTACCTAAGACCTCAGTTAATCTCACTGCTAATACTGAACTAACATCTTTAAAAATCTCAGGAGTAAACCTGTCAGGGCCTGCTGCTCTCCCTCGCTTCAGATTCCCTATAGCTTTTTCAACTTCATCAAGAGTCGGAGGACCTACATTAACTTGCCATTCAGGTTGACTGGAGATCGTGGGAAACCGAAGTGTGGCTGAAGGCCAGTTGAACTGATCCCTAAAGTATTCTGCCCATCGATCCAATCTCCTGGATTGAGAATGTATAATACGTCCATCTTTCTCTGAGATTGTTTCGCTAACAGTCAGGTTCTTAATACCGGTTTCCTTAACAAGTCTGAACAGTTGTCTGCTGTTACCTATTGCCGCCGCCTTTTCCATCTCTCTTGCTTTCGCTACCCACCACTGTTCACGATCATTGCATAGGCTTCTTATCAGCTTGCGCTTCAGCTGACTCCACCCTTCGTTATGTTCAGAGCCAGATGGAATGAGTTTTCGAGCATCTATCAGTGAGGTGGGTGCTGCTGAGATCCAGTGTTTCTCCCTAACCATGTGGTTTGCCGTACTAGCAGATATCACTGCTGTTTCCACAGCTTTTCGGATATCATTCCATGCTGCCTCGGGGTGGGCATCACATACATGGCTGCCTAACTGTTTTCCTAGTTGTTCCTGAAATATACTCTTAGCTTGACTATCATTAAGTAGGACCCTAAGAGGCTTCCTTGCAGCATCTTTCCTACGTCCAGTAAGACGCAAGCAAATACGCGCCCGCACTGGAGCATGATCTGAGTCTAAGCATGTGCTGCAGAATGAGCGACAGTCTTCTATCGAGCCCCTCCATCGGTGGCTGATAGCGATGTGATCTAGTTGGGTCCAACGTTGGGACGAATTATGGGGTCGCCGTGTTAAAAGATGTTTTTCCTTATGCTTAAAGTTAGTATTTTCAAGGAACAGGCGGTTATCTGAGCATAGCTGCAACAGACAGTCGCCATTATCTGTTCTTTGAGCCACGATACTATAAGATTTACCAAAGTGTCTTTCCCTATCGCTTAGTTTACCTACTTGAGCATTAAAGTCACCGGCCACTATTACTACATCAGAGCGCCTGGTTTTTCGGAGAGGGTCGGAAAGCTTTCTGTAGAACTCATCTTTTACATCATCTGAGCTGCAGTCAGTGGGAGAATAGGCAGAGACGACGAAGAGGCAACGACGAGTGTCCTTATCTTTCCGAGTCCTTACTGTTCCGTCTAGTCGTACAGCGCACAAACGACTGTCTACTGGGATCCAGTCTAAGAGAGCTATTTCTGCCCTAGGACTCGATGCTATGCCTACTCCGGCGAGGCCACGGGAAGCAGCATCAGGGCTTCCAGATACACGAAGCGTTAGTCTAGTTGGTTTGTTACTTTGACATGGTGAGGTCAAATGAATGACGCTACTCGGATCCTGTATGAGCGTTTCTGAGAAACAGCATATATCGATGGTGAGTGATTCTTAAGTCCTAGCTAAGGAAGCATGTTGTCCTATTTGGCACAGTGTTCGGATGTTAAAAGCTCCTACGTGTAGTTTAGAGCGTGGTTTCAGGAGACCAGGAATAGCGTTCCGCATACTCGAATCGTTCGCCCTAGCGGTGCGAGGTGATAAAGAGACGTGAGGAGGGTTAGTCATGGAGATAAGAGAGGTATTAGGAGGTGTAGGAAGGATTTGAATGTGACCAACTTGGTATCGGATGCTGTTACGGGTATGAGAGCTGATATCACTTCCCGGCTGACCACACTGTGGAAGGGTATTTCTTGAGGAACCTGAAAAGGAAATCGGATTAGTGTTGGTCTTAACGACCTGGGATCGTGACCGCAGAGCCCAAGGGACAATTGCTTGAGGCCAGTCGCTCATGATCTTTTCGTGGAAGGTTTTTAACGTGTTAGCTCCGTACTTCAAAGGGCCTTAGCGCCGGAGACGGAAATCCGTGAGGTAAGGTGAGGTGTGACATTTTTAGGGTCAACCTTTTCTAACTCCTTCCTTCCTTGTGAGAAGGGAGCATCGCTGCAGATGCTGTTTGTCTAAGAGAAACACCTTACTGCTATCACACCCCTCTACAGTCAGCAGTACGACTTCGCCCTCAGACCTTGAGTTGCTGCTTTTAGTCTTACTGTTGTGGATGCGGAGGAATAGACCAATAATTATCATGTTAAGTCCAATGGTGTCCTTGGACTTTAAATGGACATTTCCTATTGGTCGATATCTGTTCACTTGTTGAATATTGTACAAAATGTTGTTTTCTATTCTATGGTACGATGTGGTATGCTTGGTTAGTATATAAATAGAGTATGTTTGAAATATAATGATTCATATCTCAGAGGTTGTGACTTGTGTTCTGGATTCAACTGACTGGGCTAGACAGGGAAGTGAGACCAATGTTTAAACACAATGGTGAGCTGTACCATGAACATCTGTCACTGTCATTGCCGACACATTACTGCGTTTACCTAGATTGTTGTGACCTCAGTGTTTTTATTAATAAAGGAAGTTGCATGAGCTTCTGATTATAAACTACTGTTACTTAATACCGTCTGTGGGCCCTATTGTTCAACCCCCAAAAATTAGCTGCAAATCAATTCTTCTACTTGGTAAAATATGTTTATTGAAGACAAACCAACTCGAGAGAGAAAAGATGAAGATTTACTTCACATCCAAATATTATATTTCAAAATAGTATATCGGTACTAATAATATGTGCAGATTTAACTTGTATTGATCATTCATCAGATATGAATAACTATAACATAAAAGAACATCTTACTAAATTACTCCATGACTAAAGTTATCAGAATACATTTGAACGTCATGCTAAATTCATTCAATAATTTCATCATTCATCCGTTCTTAAGAAAAATGTGAACTTTATCCAAATAGCTCACTTTATTAATCGAACACCTTACTTTCGAATATAAGATTCTTCACTTACAGTTTCACTATACGTAAACGAAATTTGGAATGAAGTAATGGCTTTAAGTATCCATCAGTTTAGTAATATATCCTCTCAAGAGTCATGTATTTTAAGAAGTATAAAAATATTTTACTATCGCTATATGTAAATTAATGTCACCAACAAGGTTATTTTTTGCTAACTGTTTCTATATATTTTTCCTGGATAACAACAAGTCTGTGTGTAACACTATAGTGACGTAATACCGTTTAAACGACAACCTCATTTCCGTAGATTTTTTTCATGAAAATGACTTTAGACCTTTTTCATGATGCAAATATGTAGCTCATCTAAATTTAAGTCCGTTGCATTCTGTCTAATATTCCAGATCTTTATGCTGATTTCGTCGCGCCAAAATTAAAAAAGTCTTTAGATACTGAGACTTGGCAACATGACGGAAGTATACCATCAGCATGTCATCGGCAATATTCTGTGAGTAAAATTCATTATTTGCTTGCATGTTCCTTTTTATTCACTGTATCATACGATTGTTAAATTTGTACAACTCCGATATTCCAGTTACACGAAATCTGGAAGAATGTGTCAAAAGTTACACTCAATTACCTGTCATAGACAATGCAGGATATGATCTAAAATGTATTAATATCGGTCCAAGTTGTCACGCTCAAGGACATTAAAAGAAATTTTAAAAATTACTGTCGTAATCTTAACGTATGGAACCTAAAAAACTCAAAATGATACAAATGAATTTCAAGAATCTAAAGTGTAGGATGAGTTAAATGAAAGAAAAGCAGTTGCGGCTGGTTTTGAGCGACATCATCTATGTCCGTTCACGGATATAAATCGCGAATATCTGACGTCGAAAGTAACTTGAGATTTTAGATCAAAGTTTAGAATCTGGAATTGAGTTTAAAACTATCCACATTTTTGAGATGTCAGCATCCAAAAACTAAGTAGAAGTTGACACTCAGTATTTTAATTAATTCCTACTAATAGTCCTCAAACTATTTCTGTTATTCAGCAAATATTTATTAAACATCATTAAGTTAGAAAATACGGTACCAAACGTTGTAGTTTGAAATCATTGCATAGTTATATTGTTGAAAATCTAGTCATATACTGTAAGGGGGACAAGGTCACACGTAATTATGTATAAATGACAATTAGAATAAACTTAATAATGTTGCAATCACTTATCGAAATTACAGGTAATTTCAATCTCTTTTGTCCAAGTCCTGCAACTGCTTGTAAATTTAAACAGTTTACTCATAATGGCAAGGTATAAAATTTGTTGAATTCATTTTATCTTCTAAAAGTCGTGTTTTCTTTCCTAGTTCAACATATACCCAGCTATCAATATGGGAGTTTGTGTAGATTGTTGAGTGGTGTCGAGATAACGAACCGACCAAAGTTAAATAATTATTTAAAACCATGAAATTCTAGTATAGGATCCCTCGGCAGTGAGTAACCACAGCCCCACCAGATGTCATACACAGGAGCTTCGTATCCCACAATGAACGCGTAGTCTTTGGATGTCAGCTCAGTGTTTTAAGGGTTGATCACACCGTGAAAACTGTAGGTCTCCAATTCAATCCCTAAGGGATACTGTTGAGGAGTCTTATGCTAAAACAAAACACCTTTCTAGTGCTTCTTTGTTTTCAATGCTTTTCTAACTATGATCGGTTCGCGATCTGAATAATGTACTTAGTTATTGTTTGATTGACAAAAAACATTTAGTTTGACGTTCTAATGGGCAAAATTCTAATTCACTTAAAAAAATATACTTAACAAATAGCATTTTGTAGTCATCAGAACGTTTAATTTTTGTTAATGTTTTTTATTTTTATATTGTAAATAATATTTGGCTTCCCATAAACTTGAGACCAATTATCATACCACTTGAACATTGAACCTTCTTTAAAAATTATAACTGATAATATTTGGTTTTACATTTAAGTTAGTGCCATTCGAGTTTACATTGGTTTCATAATACATGTATCCAAAGTCCATCAAATTGAAACTATTGAATCATTTAGAGCTTGTTTTAGTTCAATCTTTCAAAAGCTATAAAATATTCATATGACTTGATTATTCTTTTTTATTATTTACATACTCAGATGTTGTCCCTTATGTTTATTTTTATTTACGAAGCTCATTTGTATCGAAATAGGTTCAATTTAATAATATCTAAATAAAACTATTGATTGCCTGCATTTCCTTTCTGAAGATAAGCTCTTAAGTAGGTGTTTGTTGTAACTGCTCTTACTATTGCGTAACACATATTGTATCTGTTATATCCTAGTGAAGATTAAATTACGAGTAACTTCTGAAATCTATTAGTGGAATAATATTATCTGTATATTCTTACAGTATTACTATTCAGTAATTAGATTATATATATCTATATTCCCCTCATTATAAGCTTCATTTTAACCTATAGATTATTATGACTATTATGACTACTATTTTTAAGTTACGTTCAGTTTATTGATTACAGTCTCCCACATTTTGGCTTGATTTCGTATAAATGTTATTTCCTATTTTATGATACTATATGGTATGTTTGGCTGGTATATAAACCAAGTAGGTTCGAAATAAATGATTTGCATAGTGGAAGCGGTAATTGGCCTTCCGCACCCAACTGGAAGGGCTAGGAAAACAAAGGATCAATAAGAATGCTAGTCTGCTCATACCGGTCGAACGTCATTGGTTTGGCACAATACTATGATTGAATAAGTCGTATTTCGATTGGCGAATAAACCACGTGATAACTAGACGGACTTAAGGTCACAACAGTGTCATTGTGTAAAGAATATTCACTATGTGTGTCAAATAATATTTATTTTACAATAACCTAATTCGTAACATTTGACCTTTTAAATACCAGTCGAGTTCGAGACTTAATTCAATTGAATTATTGACTAGTTATTTCGTCGTCGTATCCCATCTATTCAGTTTTTATTTATTTTGTATGATGTTTATTTGACGTATACGTGTGTGTTAGGTTGACTCCGTTGATGTTCAGATCATTATCGGTTGACTGAACTTGATTACTTTTTCAACAAAAAAATGTGCAATTTCATAGGTTGAAATCATGAGTCAATTGAAGCTAGACCACCATGGAAAACCTGGAAGCACTGGACGGCCGTTTCGTCCTGGTATGGGACTCCTCAGTAGTGCGCATGCACAACCCCGCACCCTACGGGACTCGGACCCAGGACCTACTGGTTTTGCGCGCGAGCACTTAACCATTAGACCACTGAGCCGGCATCCAACGATGTTAATGTCTAACTTCAACCAATCCACGAAGTTGCGCCACCGTACACCACTGTCTTCAGTGAGCTGATATCTCACAACAGACCTGGTTGAACTCCACTGGTAACGGCTTCTCACTAAAACTCCAGAAGTATCTCCTGAAGTCAGTCACTAGTGTGCAGTTGATTATTATCAGAATGGGTTTTGTGGAGATTTTTAGAAATTTCATAGGTTGAAATCACGAGTTTATTAAAGTTAGACCACCATGGTTGAGTGCTCGCGCTCGAAGCCAGTAGGTCCTGGTTTCGAACCCCGCGTGGTGCCGGATCGTGGATGCGCACTGCTGAGGAGTCCCATACTAGGACGAAACGGCCGTCCAGTGCTTCCAGGTTTTCCATGGTGGTCTAGCTTCAATCGACTCATGATTTCAACCTATGAAATTTCTAAAAACTCTCCACAAAACCCATTCTGGTAATGTGCAATTATTTTAAATTTCCATGTTACGAAGATATGTTTTCAATCAGGGATGCATTTGTAAAAGAAATTATGATTAGGAGATGAAAAATTCTTCTAGTTCAGTAGGGATGACTTTGGGAACCATGTGTTCATTAAGCTTGGTAGTTTAATTGTAAAGCTTTCACTATCCTCTTGGATATCGTTAACACTAACTGAAGGTAAAAGTGAGCTATTCGGATTTCTCCACATGTGGCTAATAGCTAGTTAGATCGGCTGTAAGTTTGAATTTCGTTATTGATACTTGACCTGTCAAAGTGTGAGTAATATATGTAGATGTTCTTAATGCTCTATCTGAAGATTGTGCTGATAATATCTCCAAAAAAGACCATAGTGGGGCATAGGCCGCTGACCAGGTATCATCAACTGTCCTAGACTCTCGTTTCATCTCCTTGATTTCTGCGTCCAGATCCCAACGTCATGTATAAACTGGCCTGCCCTTTATCCTTTCACCTTGAGGATTTCAAGTAAGGACTTGCCTTATGATGCAGTTTGATTATTTTAGCGACATGTATCCTGTCCACCTCGGGCATCCTTTTCTGATTTCCTCCTCAGAACTCGCATGGGAGTTTGTCTCCCGATCAGAAAAAAATTATTTTTTTTTAAAAACAACAGTTTATACCTTGTTCAGCATGTATATATTCGTTTGATTTTTCCTCCTATTCTGTTTTATTTTTTCTATATATATAGGTGAAAAATATTAAATCTATTTTCATTGGGGCTACTGGAACCACAATACAGAATGCGCAAGATCATGCAAAATGGGCTGTTACTGTGTCCTCAAAAAAGCCTACTGAAGATATTGGTAATTGGATTTGTCTTGGTGATATTAACCGTCAGGTGATAAATAGATTATTTATGGTTGTATTTTACGATTATGTGGTCAATACATTTAATACTTCTTGGTCAAAAGCGGTAACAATTTGAATGCCTTAAACAATTTAACAGCATGCTCTATGTAACAACTTATATTTGTGGACAAGAATAATTATATACTGCCTTCTTAAGCAAAAAGATGGTTTGCTTAATAAAAGTGAATATTCATACAATTTAAATGAAATCTGGTAAAATATCTTATGAAACAGAGGAATCTAATTGGTTAATATAATTTTTAAAAAATTAGGATGTTCTTACCATTAAAATGAATGACCCCAATGGGCTTGTAGAAAATAACAGTTTTATTTCACTTTGTAACCTCAATTAATATCAAGTGAGGTTGTAATGTTTGGATTAATTGTTCATTGAGTGGTGGTTAATGTCATATTTGTCTAGTTTTTAGTTATGGGGTATGACGACCTGAACCGTTATACACATGTATTAAGTGATGCATACCTGACTTATTGACTGATGATCGAATTCTATCGAACAATTAAATGTTTTCTCACCAACCATGTCGAAGTGTTGTGATATATATCACAGTGGTAAATTTTATTCCTTTAGAAGCTAAATGTTTCGAAATTATTTCCATTTGAATAATAACGATAGCGAAACCGTGATGCGAAATTCATTCGAAATGCTAACAAACTTTGTTAGTTCAAAACAACTCACAGCAATAACTTCAAAATGTCACGAGGTTATGGGCCCAACAAGCATTACAGTAATGCGTGGATTTCTGTATATAGCCTTGTTAAGATTCAAGAAAGTATAAACAAGAAGACAGCAATCGACAACAACCGGACGAAAGTAGAGAAGGCTAAAGAATAGGCTGAGTATGCAGAAGCAGACAAACGAGTGAAGGAGAATGCAACAGCCGGTGAGCGGAAGCAATAGTAACATACCAAGCAACAACAACAACAGGAAAAGCTGGAAGAGAAGGAAATATATGGAAACGTTATGATAAAACTAAGAAGCCTAGAGCAAAACGTCATAAAAATGAGCGACCAGTTACGAACAAAAGAGGAAGACCGATTAGTGTGGTTTCAGAGCAGCGAAATAGGTAGGTAGAATAATGTGAAGTTGAAGCGCTACAAATCACCGGGCCCAGATGAATTACCTCCGGCTCTTTTTAAAGATGGTGGTGACTTTTTGACTAAGGAATTGACGACGTTGTTTACAAAAGTCTGGGAACTAGAGAGTGTACCAACGTCCTGGAATGAATCGATAGTTGTCCCTATCTTTAAAAAGGGTTCACGTCGTTCCTGTAACAACTATCGGGGGATAAGTCTACTTCTCATTGCGTCCAAGCTATTGACTTCCGTCATACTTCGTAGATTGTTCAAAACTCGAGAAAGATTGACTCGCGAGGAGCAGGCTGGGTTTCGTTCTGGTCGAGGATGTATTGATCATATCTTCACCCTCCGCCAAATGTTAGAACACCGTCATACTTATTACAGGCCAACAATCTTAGTGTTTCTTGACATCAGGGCTGCCTTCGATTCGTTGGATAGGACTGTTCTCTGGGATTGTCTATTGAAGAAGGTTGTGCCTCAGAAGTTTGTTAACATCTTAAAAGCCCTATATACAAACACTTCATGTATAGTGAGGGCATACAACCACCTTAACCCCATTGTTCCATTCAAGCAGTGGGGTTAGTGTTAGGTCCCGATAAACATAATGAATGGTAACTTTGGGATCCTTTTATGGACCAATACTAAACGTATATTTTTATCGTATAATTGTTAAATAACTAAACTATTCATATTCATATTCCTCTTATTATAAACTTTATTTTGACCTATTAACCCATCATTATACATTTTACCATTCTTGAATTATGCCCTGTCTATTAGTGAATGCTTCCCACATTCAGCCAAATTTTGTACAAATGTTATTTTCCATTTTATGCTACGTTGTGGTCTCTTTGATTGGTATATAAACTCAATATGTTTGAAATATAACGATTCATATTGCAGAGGCTGAGACTGGTGTTCTGGATTTAACTGGCTTGGCTAGGCGGAAACCAGGACTCTAGGCTGCTCGCACGTGTTTTACGCGTCCTTGGTCCGATCGATAATTCACTGCTTCTGATTGGCGGCTTCGGGCTTTAACAATTAGACAGGGTCGCCCAATCTCACCATTCCTCTTCAACTTTGCCATCGATGACATTCTGGAGACAGCTCCGATGGATGTAAGTAATGGCGGTGTGGATATGTTGCCTGGAGAAAGACTTCTGAACCTTGAGTATGCGGACGATATTGTCTTACTGTGCGATAATGCCCAAGGCATGCAATCCGCACTTAATCAGTTGACAATCAGTGTCCGTAGGTATGGTATGTGCTTTGCACCTTCGAAGTGCAAAGTAATTCTACAAGACTGGCAGGATTTTAATCCTGTACTCACCCTGGATGGTGAGCAGATAGAAGTAGTCGAGAAGTTCGTGTATCTGGGTAGCTGCATAAGTGCTGGTGGGGGTGTGAGTGATGAGATCGATTCACGTATAGTGAAAGCCAGAGCGGCTTATGCCAATCTGGGTCATCTTTGGCACCTTCGTGATGTTAGTCTAGCTGTAAAAGGTCGGATCTGCAACGCGTCGGTGAGAGCAGTTTTGCTCTATGCTTGTGAAACCTGGCCTCTCCGAGTTGAGGATGTTAGACGACTCTCTGTGTTGGATCATCGTTGTCTCCGAAGGACTGCTGGCATCCAGTGGCAACACCATGTTAGTAATGCAGAGGTTCAGCATCGTGTGTTCGGGCACAGAGACAATAATGTAATTCGTGTCACCATCTTGAAACACCGACTTCGGTGGCTTGAACATGTTCTACGAATGTCATCCCAGAGAATTCCACGTCGTGCATTATTTGCCGGTGCTGTGACTGGTTGGAATGAGTGGAGAGGCGGTCAGTGTACGAAATTGTGTCGTGGTATGAAAGAAAGCTGCGAAGGACTAGCTTCTGTTGGTCCTTCACGACTGCCTGGCTGGGGTCTGAGAGATGGTGCTACACAGTGGCTAGAGACGTTATCAGATATGGCTCAGAATAGAAGCCAGTGGCGATACTGCCGTAACCTTCTTTTACTTTGTTCATAAAAAGTGGTTGTCTCTTCGTTAACTGAAAGATTTCTTCTGATTGTGCCTTTCCGTTTCCCCCACTATTATTATTATTATTATTATTATTATTATTATTATTATTATTATTATTATTATTATCACACTTCCTTACACTAATCTGGTCATTATTGTTCCTCTTCCTTTTTTTGGTTTTACGCTCCTTACCTTCCTTTTTTTCTCCCCATTCTCATTGTTTTGTTTGGCGTATATATATTTGGTGCCCTTTTGTACCACTATTTATGTGTTCAAATAAATAAATAAATCGGAACACTGTGAATCATTGTTGAGCAATTGATTAGATGGAACTCACCGCTATACATCAACTTCCTTGACTACGGGAAACCACTCGAAAATGTGGATAAGAGGGCCTTTTGGGATCTTCTCCTGCACTATGGAGTGCTTGAAAAGATCGTCACCACCATACGGAAGTCATACGTTTGATTGAACTTTAAAGTCATACATAGAGAACAGTTCACAGATGCGTCTCAAGTGAAGACTGGTCCCGGACAAGGCTGCTTACTCTCGCCTTTCTTCTTCTTATTGACTGAATTATGAAGATCTTCAGATTTCAGGAGATGTACGCAATGTAATGGACATTTTGAACGCAAGTTGACTAATTGGACTTCGCAGATTACTTAGTCCTTCTATTCTATACACAGCAGCAAATAAAAACAAATATCGGTGTAACAGCAGGTTCTACAGCAGTCGGTCTCCACATTCACAAGGAAGAGAGAAAGGTCTTGAAATACAATACAGCGAGTGCCAACTGAACTACATTTTATAGCGAAGCTCTGAAGGAGGTGGAAGCTTCTACATACCTGGACAGTATCACTTATAAGAAAAGAGGAACTGGTGAGGGTAGGATTCCTACAATTGAAGAACATCTGTAACTCAAAACAACTGTCATACAACACCAAACTTACTAAGTTTCAAAACAAGTTCTATTGTACGGAGCTAAAACTTCGAAAACTAGCACAGTCGTCATCGAAAACGTACAATTGTTTATTAATAGCTATTAAAGATATTCCAAATCCATTGGCTAGACATTCTCAGCAAACCAACTTTCAACTGGGGAGGAAATCAGAAAAGGATGCCCGAGGTGGACAGGACACGTCGCTAAAATAATCAAACTGCATCATAAGGCAAGTCCTTACTTGAAATCCTCAAGGTGAAAGGATAAAGGGCAGGCCAGTTTATACATGACGTTGGGATCTGGACGCAAAAATCAAGGAGATGAATAGCATTTGGCAACAAGTGGAAACGAGAGTCTAGGACAGTTGATGATACCTGGTCAGCGGCCTATGCCCCACCAAGGGTAGTTGGTTTATGGGTAATGACCAGTACTTTCCTTCATCATAACACCCACGTGAGTTATTCTGGGACAAAAATTAGTTTTAGCTTCCCAGTTACTTCGTGTTTTGATAATTGTCTTTGTCAAATATTTATATGCTAACCTTGAACACTTTTACTATAATTTTGTGTGTTTATGCTTGTTTGTTTTTATGTATGATGTAGTTAGTTTTCTGTCGACTCATATTTTATACGCCGTCTATTTCTATTTAGACAAAGAATCTCCTCAATTATGATGGGTTTTGACTTGTGCTCCAACTTCGTGTTTCCTATGCTTATTCTCTACCCACTTAATCGTCTGGCTATAATTGAATGGATCAAATAAACATATTCTCATTACATTTTGTACTTAGGCTTTATTGATTCAAATTTGTATTAGTGATATGCTGTTGACTAAGTGTTGTGTATAAATTTAGACTGATGTTAGACACGGATACGAAAACTTTCTTTCAAAATGATTATCGACAATATATTCGGCAGATTCACATAATGTGACAACCGCCCGATTTTGTAAATAACTGTCATACAATCAACTTAATTTAACTTTACTAATTACCCTTTTAACTATAATCTTGAAGATATATCTCAAAGGTATTCGCTAATGAACAAACGATAATTATCAGTATATAGTATTTGTACATACTAGTTCAATTTGAGTTGAGTTCTCTGAGCTGAGTGGTTTAATCATGAAACTCATGGTCTTTTTTTGGAGATATTATCAGCACAATCTTCAGATAGAGCATTAAGAACATCTACATATATTACTCACACTTTGACAGATCAAGTATCAATAACGAAATTCAAACTTACAGCCGATCTAACTAGCTATTAGCCACATGTGGAGAAATCCGGATAGTTCACTTTTACCTGAACGCATATAACGTTTGCCATTCCATCTCGTTGTAATAACTATTCTGTTGGGCTTATTAAATTTCAGTATGGGTAAATGTTTTATCAGTTAATGAACGACCTGTTTTTTGCAAACTTAAATCTTTGCAACATCAGTCACGAATCATAATTTTTCTCTTGTTCTAACTTGTATCAGTCAAATTCCGTTGCCTATCAAGGTGCAGTTTATTCACTTTTAATAACTCGACACCGATATTTTTTGATTTTTGTATTTTCTTTACGACGAGCAAACCCATTCTTAGCCTAAATTATTGAGATTAAGAATTAATAGTTGTCCCTTTGCCATAGATTAGTGTATTTTACCTGGTACCTTTAAAATATTCCTAAATCAGTCTAAAGTTTACAAATTTCAAAACTAAATTGTATTGCTTTTCTTTCCATCACATGGTTATTTACTTCAGCCTCATCAATTTGAACGTGGTGGTGGTACAATGTGTATAAAAGATCAAAAACTATGGCAATCATTTTATGATTTAGTTCAACGTGTAGAAGAATGCTCAAAAACTGATTACACTTTTGTTACTACCCATTTATTTAAGCGACTATGGACTTTGATTGAAATTGTGCAGTTTTTTTATGCATAAACTAATTCACTTATGATGCTTAACATTGTTCAGTGTTTTTCTTTTTCTAACTTGTTTATTTTATTTGTCATTTTCATTCTTTCAAAAAATTTATTTTGTCCTATTTTTTTTATTGCGAATACTTTTATATGATTACTGAACAAAATGTTATCTCTAAATGATTATTTATTTAAAATTGATATCATGAATGAATGTTAGACAATCATTGAAAACCTGGAAGCATTGGACGGCTGTTTCGTCCTAGCACGGAACTACTCGATAGTACGATCATTTATTTACTTATTTCTTTGTTGACAATTTAAATGAATCACAGAAACTTATTTTACCAGTCTAGAAAAAAACGGCCAAGAGTTATCGGTTGATTGAATATTGAAGTTTTGTTTTTAAGTAAAACGAATGCCCTGAAATGATGTGACTGCTTGTAGTCGTCAAGTGTTTTAAGGCAGAAATAAAACGATGTAAAGATGGGTCACAATGAATCGATATTAATTCGATAGAAAGGTTATTTAAATATTAGAATTACAACTCCCGATTGTAGTGGTTCATGGTGGATAAGACGAAAATCAGCTGTAGTCCATGAGAATAAACAAAGACTAATTATCGACTAGAATAAGCAGTTCGAACAAATTTTCAGGAGTTTATAGATGGAAATGAGAGAGGGCTCTTGAGGTGCTGACATAATTCCTACGGGACCGAGTAATGAGGATCTAGAAAAGTCGGCAGCCTGCTTGAATATCTGGGCTACCTGTTCGTGCCATTTCAACAAGTTACCTGTTTTCTTGTTTGTTTTAACAAATCATTATGTCTATTGAGCGCACAGCTTATTCAGGGGCGTTTATGAAAAGTTTGTGACAATTAACTGTACAGGTTACGAAAAGGCACAGTCAGCGACATCATGGTGGCTGGCAATATGTATTGAAAAGAACGAACATTATTCAGATGTCGATTCCCGAACATATAACTGGCGATCACTCAATATTTCTGGTCAGGATCGATCAAGAAATAAGAATAGGAAACTTGTTGAAATACCTTACGCTGAGAATTCCATATTGTACCAAAAATATAATATTGGATAAAGCTAATAATAATACAATATAATTTAGTCACAGTTTAACTAATATCCTCCCTGTTTAGTTGCAATTTGATTGGTTGAATCCCATAGAGAATGGATGATCGGAATACTAGTTTTATAAAAAGTTTGTCTCTTCCACCACTTGGAAAAATAAATTCTTTAGGAAATCTATCCATGAAATGACACAATATTAGTGGGCTAACTCCTTAATAATGAAAATGTTAATTATCAATGATGAATAAGGCTTAAAATAGGTCAGTAGTAAATGCTTGTCCAAACATGTTCATTCGTTAATTTTGTGCATAGTGAGGATGAATGTCATTTGATATGGAATGATAACGGAATGCAACATGTGAAATGTGTATACCAGTATATTACTATAAGATATCGACATAGTAATCGTTTTGTTTATAAAAAAGTAATATACAGGATGAAATTAATCATACGTAGTAACAGTGAATAGTGGGATAGTATACTGTTCAAATAGTTCAATTAAACCCATCTCGCTTCACATACTCTACAAGAAAGCATTTGAATAAGCGTTTGTTGTAGACTATCGATTATCATCGAATACCGAAGGATATATTCTCATAGAACAAAACATTTCAATCATGAAAAATGACTCAGTGTAATTTTACAAATTAAAAATATAAAAGTTTCAATGACTTGCAGAACTATTAATTTATTTTGTTATACTCTAAATAAAATAATAATCGTTACTGGGCTCAAACAAAGAAGATTGGAAGGCATAATACTGGGAAATAAACATCTAAAATTAAAATTACCAAGTATGGGGGTAAGATAAGGTTGCTTACTCTCCCCTTTTCTCTTCTGATGGTTGGATGGATTATGAATACCTCCACACCCGAGGGAAAGCACGGAATACTATGGATAGCTCGCATGAAACTAAACGATTCGGACTTCGCAGATCATCCAGCTCTTCTATCCCATACAAATGAAGGCGAAGATAGTCAGTGTAGCTGCATCAGTAGACGACAACATACACAAGGGAAAAAGCAAGATCTTGGAATTCAACAGAGAGAACACCAACCCAATCACACATGATCGAGAAACTCTGCAGGAGGTGGGAACTTCAACGTACCTGAGAAGCATTATCGATGAACAAGGAGGATCTGATGCAGATATAAAGGTGAGGATTGAAAAGCAAGAACCACATTCTAAAGAACATATCGAGCTCAAAACAATTGTCAATAACAATCTTCACTACGAACGTTAACACAGTTCTGCTGTACGGAGCTGAAACTAATACAACTATCATCAAAAAAGTACAAGTGTTTACAAACAATTGTCTACGCAAGATATTCAACATCTATTGGTCGGATACCATCAGCAACAACCTAGTCTACTGTGGGAGAGAACAAACCAGCTTCCAGTTGGAGAAATTAGGAAAAGACGTTGGAGGTGGATAGGATATACACTGAAGAAATCATCAAACTGGAACACGAGGCAAGCGCTTAGTTGGAATCCTGAAGGGGAACACCAAAGACCACATTGCACCGCTAGTTGGAAGAAATCAAAACGATGAATAGTAACCACAAAGGATAGACAGAGTTCGATGGAGAATGTTGGTGTGCGGCCTATGCTCCTCCACGAGGGGTAACAGGAGTAAGTATTATCAAGCATGTGGACACGGAACTACGTTTCTTCTCTTCGCCTAAGCTAGATTGCTTTGACAACTCGAAAATACATATATAGTGTCTTTTTATGAACAAATTTTGATTTACAAAATGAAATCTAGACCACCGTTTAAAACCTGGAAATACTGGACGGCCGTTTCACTCTAATATGTGACTCCTCGGTAGTGTGCATCCAAGACCCTACCACGCGGGATTCGAACTCAGGATTTATCAGTCTCGCGTGCGGTCGCTTAACAACTAGACCACTGAGCCAGCATCTAACGGTGTTAATGTGTAACTTCTAACAATCCAGGAATTCGCGTCACCACCCACCATGGTGGTCTAGCTCCAATTGACTCATGAACTCAACTATTAAACTACTATAATATCCACAAAATCCCTCTCTGATTAAAATCAAGTCTGTCATTTCAATGGGGAGATATCACCAGTATTAAATATTTTCCCTATAATATGCTTACAGTTTAGTATGTGAGAAAATATAGAGTATAAGATAACAACAATCCTAATTCAATTTAAGAACAGAAATTTTATAATCATAAAATTATAATGATAAAAGCAATCACAATGTGATATACGCAATTTATATTTATAAACTGAATATTCAACAATACAAACAAAAGTGGTGTCTTTTCACACACACACACACAAAGGAAGAAGAGATACCTAAAAAATGGTTTTCCAAAAATAGTTTATTTTAATAAAATAAAAAACAAATTACTTTAATGTATCTGTTAAAACGTCATGATATTTGATCAATATTGTATAATTGAAGATGTACATTATGAAAATTTCAATAATTGAGATCATGAGTTAATTGAAGCTAGAGCACTATGGAAAATCTAGAAGCATTGGATGGTCATTTCCACGTTTTCTATGATAATCTAGCTTCAATTGACTTATGATAGCAATTATTGAAATGATTATAATTCTGATACAAAATAAATTGTGTTAAATCCAATTTGGTAAAATACAATCAGATCGTTGTTTTACATTAACTTGTAAATTATCACAAAAATTTGATGTTAATGGTAAACATGTAAAATAATTACAATATCGACAATTAATAATTGGACCCCATATAAACATAAGAATTAAACCAATACATAATATTAACCATAGAATGGAACATAATATAATAATAAAACAACGATGATGACATTTAGAATTTTGTTGTTGTAATTGTAATTGTTGTTGAAGATATTGTGGATGCATAGAGGAATGATGCTGTAATGATGTACAACTTTTACGATTTATATCAGGTAAATTGAAATTAAATAGAATAGATGGTGTTGTTGGTGATGTTATAGGTGTATTATAATAATTATTATCAAATATATTTTGATTAACTGATGTAGCTATGGATGCACTAAGAGATACAGGTGGATAAATGAAACCACGAAATGGTAATAAAATAAATGATAATAAAATACCAGATAGAAAACTACCAGCATTTGCATAATTATCAATCCATGGCAACAAACCAAATGTGAATAATATAAATACCAGTAAAATATTTCTTAGTAATGCATACCATGGATGTGCTAAAAAATTCCAACAATGTATAAAATCAACTAAAGTGACACCAAGTAAAGCGAACTGTGCACCTGTAGGTCCAGTTTCTACCTAAGGAAAAGAAAAATCCCCGTAGTACAAAAAAACAAACAATCAAAATGAAATAAACTGACTGGTTTATCAATAATAGTGTTAATAATAATGAGTTTTTTAAGCGAAATACATCTCTAGATTGAAAACAAATTGAGTGCATGAATGATTTTGATAGAAGCAAAATACTTCAGAGAAAAGTGGATCGAAACAATCTGAATAAATAAAATGATCTAGTTTAGTTCGCTACACTTTGGCAACTGTTGATTAGGGAATAAAAATATATTTCTATCAATACAACCCATCAAATGATTCCAAGAACAATTGGTGCTCTTCTCTCGCATACGCAACAACAAATGCAGAAGACGACCAGTGTAGCAACAGCCTTAGCAGCAGCAAGTCTCAACACACACAAAGGGAAAAGCAAGATTCTCCGATACAACACAGCATGCGCCAATCGAATCGCACTTGACGGAGAAGCTTTGAATGATGTAAAAACCTTTACATATCTGGACAGCATCATTGATGAACACGATGGATCTGATGCAGATGTGAAGGCGCGGATCGGCAAAGCAAGAGCAGCATATCTACAATTGGAGAACATCTGCAACTCAAAACAACTGTCTGTCAGCCAACACCAATGTCACAATTTTCAATACAAATGTCAAGACAGTTCTACTGTTTGGGGCGGAAACTTGAAGAACTACGAAAGCCATCATTCAGAAGATACAAGTGTTTATTAACAGTTGTCTAAGCAAAATACTTCGGATCCGTTGCCCAGAAACTATCAGCAACAACCTACTGTGGGAGAGAACAAACCAGATACCAGTGGAGGAAGGAATGAGGAAGAAGTGCTGGAAGTGGATAGGACACACATTGAGGAAAGCATGCGACTGCGCCGCAAGGCAAGCCCTCATTTGGAATCCTCATGGCCAAAGGAGAAGAGGAAGACCAAAGAACACATTACGTCGAGAAATGGAAACAGACATGAGAAGAATGAACAAAATTGAATAGAACTGGAGAGGAAGGTCCAGGACAGAGTGGGGTTGGAGAATGCTGGTCGGCAGCCTATGCTCCATTGGGAGTAACAGGCGCAAGTAGGTAAGAACGATTGGTGTTTAATTATGTAGCCATTTAATTTTTTGAATCAATCTCTGACTAGTTCATAATTCATTATCCAACTATCCTAATTTATTATATACTTACTAACCCTAATTTATTCATTTGTACTAGTAGTTATGTAATAAATAAAATAATTTGTTTATCTGGGTCATAGTTGCGCACGATGAAACTTCTGTATCTTGTCATATATTTCCATAACCTTGCTGTTTGTTATAACACAATACGTTTCAGTCAGAGTAATGATGTATTCTTCATTTGAATATGTTTAATATGTGTTAGATTAGTCATTTTAGGTGGGTGACATTCATATATGTCATTCGTCCATAGGAAGCATAGTGTCACTGTTATATCTTGAAAAAGCTGATTTTTCGATATACCGCGAGTAACTGAGCACTAGAACACCAAAACCCTTCCAAGTCGCAGTAAGAAGACAGAAGACTAACGAAAGGAATATTATTCCAAACAGTGTCAATCATAGTACAAAATTGTCAGGTATTTATAGTTTTTAGTGAGAACGAAATCATCATTACAGTCTTCCAATCCGCATACAGAGGGTCATTAGCATTATCCAATCGGGAAGCTACACGTTGGAATTCTAGAACATTCTTCCGAAAGGTGATTGGATGGGACGTCTTCGGCTTCTTCTGTGCCTCTTACAGCTTCCTCGAGTTCACCGGTGGTCCATCGTCACAGTCACATATGTGTAGCCGGGTTAATTTTAAGTTAGCTAATCGAATTCTCATTAAAATTGTAAGTATGAAGTCGATAGGTTTGGTGAACAACTAAATTTTAAAATCACTACTTGAGTAACTGTTGTGATATTTTAGGTTAGAGCAGTTAACGTTTAAAACTCGAACCGCACATCTCTCCGTCAATCAATCATACGCCTAGAAGTACGATCCATAGTTCATATGGCAACACAACCTACACCTCAATATACGATATTCTGTACATCTCCAAGTCATATTGTCATTAATTACTTCCATTTTCTAAAGGAATAGAACAACGTAATATCAAGAAATCAATTACCTCGTTAATGTTTACATATTCTAACTCCATTCTGATGAGGTAAAATAAATTTAATCTGGGATGTCAATTCGTTGCCTCATTTTGAACTCATCAAATAATTGGTTTTTTTAAAAAAACTAATAGATAAAATCGGTAGTGGATTTTGTGGATATTATATTAATTTTAATAGTTGAGATCATGTGTCAATTGAAGCTAGACCATCATGGAAAACCTGGAAGCACTGGATAGCCGTATACAGGTTTTTCATGGTGGTCTAGCTTCAATTGATCTCAACCATTAAAATAGATAGAACTTTATTTTACAAACGATTACATTTTTAATACAATTAATTAGTCATAATTCTATTCAATAATGTTTATAATTTTAGTCACCTAAAATTATTGAAGAAACTCTTCTGTTGGAACTCCAACACACAAACGTATTTCTCAAGAAAATCCATCCCATGCTATTCGAGACAGATAAGATCAAATAATTAAGGTAAAAGGTACAGCAAATTGTTACCGAATTTGAAAAAAATTCACCTTATTTATTGGGAATAAGCTTTTAATTTAACGTTTAAAACTACATTTTTGTTTGGTCATAAAAGCGAACGGATAGCCAGTTAAACTGACCAAATTTCATACCCTTAGAAACTTTATTCTTTCTTTTTTTTCTTGTCTGGTTGGTAGATAGCCATCATGATAGAATGATTTAATGTTCATTAAATAATCAGAAAGTTCACTTCTAAATGAAGGGATTAGTGATATGGTCAATAGGGATAACAGAAGTTTCGGAATTAAACACTACCAAAAGCATCTACTAGAGCAACAAATCCTCTTCAGTGTTTATTTAGATTTAATTATTTTAAACAGATCTAGATTTACATCCATTTATTAATCAAATCAAATGACTTACTTGATATGGTAAGAATATTCCAGATGTTAAACTTCCAATACAACCGGATAAAATATACACTAAAGTGATACGATGCCAACCAATCATTTTTTCCAAGTCTCGCATAAAAATCATTTGAACACCAAGGGACAAGATTAAATGTAATACACTAGAAAAAAATCGATAGCACATGGATGGAAAAAGTATTCAGGAAGAAACTGACATTTTTTACTTCGGTAAGTCATTACGTGATATAACTGTATCGAACACAGTCCCAAACAATCATTAAATTTCACAGTTCGGACGGTGAATGACCAATGTTTTCAGTCTGGAAGAATCATGATTTTGCTTACCATTGAAAGGTAGATCCTGATGCTATTAAAGCTTACCAAGAGTAATACTACGGTCTACAATTTTTGCTCAGAGGATTTGGATCATGATGTCACATTAAGATAAGACGGCTGACTCGCTTTTTTTATTACGTTTTCAGTTTGCATGTCTATGCAATTGATTCTTATCAATCCGACTTCATATTTGCACACTATTATGAATAAAGCAGGTTAAAGCAGTCAAATGTAACATCAATCTGTCTATTTTGTCTAGTGAATAAAACTGTGTTGACTGATTTATATTTTTTATTTAGTCACGAGTTCTTTGGAAATAATAATTGTTAGGTGATAAGAGGCACTCAACAGAAAATCCTAGACAAGGGTCTCGTGTTAGCTGGCAATCATAAGCTTTTATGCATGACATCTTATCAATTTGGATGTTGTTCTTCAGCTGATTTGAGATAAACAGCATTTATTATAAAGTATGCAGATGTTTTTTTCTCAAAGACAAACTCCCCAACAGTGAGTAATCCGACTAGAAAATCGAACCCAAAACTTTCATACATCCAAGGGATCAAGATGCCTTTAAGAACCCAGGTTATTATTCCATTGTTCACATCTATAACTTTAATTAGTTTACGATACAGAGAGAACGCCATCCAGTACCATTGTGGTGTGTGCTACTGATGTCGACAGATATAAGCAGTATGTATGATCGATCGAAAGTGAAATGTCTGGCGGCAGAAGGTCAAGGAGATCAAAGAAAAGAGAATGAAAACAGAGATTTATTGGTGTGGAAAGGAAGGAACAGTAAAGTCTGAGACGACTGACTGACATTTTGCAAATGAAGAATCTATTGCATGGTTCTCTGATTTTGTTAAGAGATTCTGTAATTTTGTGTTCAAATACATTTGGTTGTCCCCACTCGTGTTCGTGTTCACTACAACATTTGTGATATGTCTCTTACCTAAGTTGAATGAACCCCAATGGTCACAATTTCTTGCTGGAACATAAAGATAACCGAGAATGTATGATAAAATAGTCGTTTGGAACATTCCAATTTTCAATGATTCCTCAGCTGGATGTCAGTTCTTGATAGAAAGTATTTTCATATCATACATATATAGTTATACGGTTTAAATACAATTCTGTAATTTGAAAGCAAATAATGACTATAAAACCGTACCCAGCATGGAGAAATAATGAAGTGAATATTCGATACATTTGATTTGGGTATTCATTATTTATGAAAGGTGACATACCACAAATTTGATTTAAACAATTCACCTAAAACCAGAGAAACAATCGTAATTAGTATTAGTAATAACTAAAGAGACCAGTAAAGAAATTCAACTTATGAGAATATGGGTGTAGATAATTCTTGTATGAACAAAAGAGAAAATAAACCCAGCTACCATGAAAGAAGTGAAGAAAAATCAGACTAAAAAAGTTAGGGAGACATAGAAGACACTCAACGAATAATGAATTACAACCTCACTGATCAGCTTTTCATTTTTAAATGAAACAGTACGCAAAACTCAGCATTACGCATTTAATAATTTCACTAGATGTAAGGAACATTTGTAGACACTTTTAATCAAATCATTACAACCTACGCGAGTTTTCGCTTTTATCAACCATATCCCACAGCCTTAAAGCAATACGAGTGGAACAGCTTCTTCTTTACGACAAACAGCCGATTATCTCGCCTGTCCCAAAGATGGTGCTATATTCGTAAATAAAAAGCGAGCTTCTTAAATCTCCGTCGAGATACATCACATCAAAAAATAAAATGCTGGGCTAACCTATTCCCAACAGTCAAAATATGCGTTGACATAGATCAGTCCTGAAGTAATATTTTGTATCCAGTGAAGAAACAAATCTCAAACATTCTTACATTGTTGCAATGTATGGGTGAGGGGATAAAACGGAACAATTTTACTTCTCAAAAATAAATTGTCATTATTATCAAGTTGAATTTATTTACTTGTGAACATAGTGCAGCATTTGGATAATAAAATCCTCGAACAAAATCACAATGTTCTTGTGTAGTCATAATGCATTCACCTTTTATGCCTAAACAACATGGATGACCAGTTACTTGACATTCCATATGTGGTGCATAACCACCCATATTTGGTACAGTATCAGGTAATTCACAAATCTAAAATGAACAAAACATTCATAGTACATTCATGAAAATAGTAATATTTACTCGAATTATAATATTCAAAACTGTTTAATACAGAGATATGAATTGACAGTGAACGGCTAATAACTGTTGTTTTTAGTTCTGTAAATAGAATTGTGTAATAAATGTACAGATATTTGTTCGTAAAGTGGCTAGCAATAACTAATGAGAAATAGATAGCCAAATGTGGATCATAGTTCAAACTGATGATCCAATTCATGAACCATAGTCCTTACAGCAAAGTTACAAATGTGTTAGGTAAGATCATAGGGACAGTAGAACTGACTATTTGAATTTAGATGATAAGATACAAAACTGACCTCAGTAGTACACATTCATCTACTCGAATCATTGGGAAGCAAAATAGTTTCATAAACTTAACAGAAAATATTTTCACAGTTAATGACACCATATCGATATTTTCAAGTTTATCATTGCCACCAAAAGCTTCAATGACTAGTTAATTCAATATTTGATGACTCCTATCAAATGGAAAAAACTATCTTTTTCAGCTCATCTGTTAATTTCCAATGCATTAAAATACAAGACAAGTCTGAATGTGAATAAAATTACTTTCAAGTTAGCATAATCATCAAATAATGACAAGAATATAAATCCAAGTCCTCGTATAAATTTTCTGTAGTAGACTGAGTAGTTCAAATGCTACTGCTTGGAGAGGGTTCGAAAGCGTTAAGCAATGATTGAATATCAATGTTTCGAACCACTGAGTTTGAACTCCAGACAAAATATACATAACTACATTTTTAAACTTAGCTGACATAATGGATATGGACATTTGACTTTCGATTATTTTGTCCCTGGGTTTAAATCAACTATTCTTCCGCTTACTTTGATTCCAGTAGATGGATAGTATTAATAAAAAGTGGTATTTACTGAGGACTTTAAGCACACTGACATATTTTCTTCAGTCGTTCGAATGTAAACTATTTGGTACCACTTATTGCTTCTAAACATCCGAAACAGAATACAACGTATTGCAGTATGATGCTTTTCAACGAATGGTTGTATCGTATTCATTAGTTGATAGGTAGAGGATTAGTCAGTTTGTCATTGTCTTGTGAATATTGGGTGTCGTACAGAACCTATATTTAAAAGGGATTAACGGGGTATACGGAGTAAAAAAAACAGAAATCGACAAAATATGTTTACATTTACAGGCCATTTAGTAACATCTGTCTCGGACCAAGCAAATGCTCCAATAGAACGTGGTCGAGCACAAAAATCTGGATCTAATCCACATACAGGTCCAGCTTGACCAACAAGTCGTGTTGAACGTAGAGAATGTATAATACTTGATATATTATTATTATGACTGTGAGAATTATTTTCAGGATGAGAAGCCTTCAATATATGTACGTGAATTTCACGATCTGCAATATTAGTCGAAAGTAGTTCTTTAGTTTGTGGCTTACTGAAATTAACTGTTTCATAATGAAGCCATGTAGCTAGTGTACGAGAGCATACTTCTCTATGCGTCTGATAACAACCACCACCATCATTACGAATACAACATCCCGAACTATAGAAGAAAAGTGAAGAAAAAAATCAACTCATACATAAACACCTAAGCAAATACACATTATGAAAATTATGGTATTTATATCATATAATCTACTACTTCACGGTTATTTTTATTTCTAACATTCGGGTCAATCGAATTAGGCTGAGGAACATGATAAGATTAGATACTAACGTGCATTGTCAAATGAGTAAACAATGATCGAGAAATTAATATACGGGAGATAACTTTAGTTAAGTGAATAGTATACATGCTCACTATAGCTTACCAAACCTATATATAAGTTCAGTGAAGGGATCTCTTGTCAACGAATTTATTATCAAGCTGTAAAATCGTATAAATTCCATGAGGAAATGTGAACAAGGAACAACCAAGATGATGTAATAGAAAGATTACAATACTAGATTACGTAGTACGAATAATAACAATCGACTTAATAAGTTAGTAACGAATTATAACGTGTCAAATCACAATCAGTATAATAGGCACTACTCCAAATCATTCTGACCTTTATTGAATGACCTTTCTAATTTACAAATAACACAATTTTGAAGTGTATATGTCGCAATAGATGTAGAAGTTCACCATTTTCAACATATAACATTATTAAATCCATTAACGCATGGTGTACTTTGGCCTTTGTAAAATAACAAAATTGTGGACTTATAACTGTAGAACCTGATGATGAAGTTATTGAAAACAATTGTTCGCTCAAACATTCTTAATTTTTGAATATTCTATAGGGATTTTTAACCTAAAAGTTTTACTACTGCATTCACCTACAACTTCCTTTAACATCATAACAAGGCGATTAATAGGGGAATATGATCCTTCTATTACATTTCGTACAGTCAGAGGTCAGTTAATATACAACATTTAGGATTTCGCTAAAATGGTTTTTTAAATTACATTTCATGGGTAGGCATTTTTAAAATCTAATGGTTGAATTCATGACTTGATCTAAGCTAGACCACCATAGAAAACCTGGAAGCACTGGACGGCCGTTTCGTCTTAGTATGAGACTGCTAGACAGTACACACACACGATCCCGCACTCGGGGCTCGGACCCAAAACCATACATAATGATTCCGTATTTATGGTCTATCAATAACAATTGTGGGTTAAAGTTTAATAAACCAAGTAGAATTATTTTTACCAACCTTGCTGCTTAACTAAATTAAGTTGTAATGCTTATACAGTTTGGAATTTATAGAAATACTTACAAATTGTTCAATTATTAAATGAAGAAACTTACGCACGATCAAATTTCTTTTGACGTTTAATCACTGAATCATGTAATACTGGATCGAATCGCATACAAGGCGGAAAACGTGCACCTAATCGGACTAAATCTGTTTGCCTTGGACCTATCCATAAATTTTCATATTCTATCCAACAAACTTGATCAATAGTCAATGTGGGCAGTAACACTTTGCCAACAATACGTGTAGTTATCCCCAAACCAATTGGTGCAAATCCGTAACCGATTGAACCAGCAATAAAAATCAATATATGAATAAATGATATCCAATATGTAAAATATGGTCTACATTTGAATATTGTTTGTTTTCGAATTAAATAAATAAAACAAAATTATTCATAGAATAGTGAAAATATAAGTGAAGATCGAAAACTAAAAAAAACGACCTAATTAAGATTATTTTTACAAAAAAAAATTGAGAAAGACTAGTAATAGAGTAGTAGAAATAAATTTAAATAAATAAAAGTTAGGTACTCTCTGAAGAAGTGTCTTACACTGAATTACGAAACGTCAGATGTGATACTATTATATCGTTATCTTACTACTGACAATCTACTCAATGTTCAGTATACTTGGAATCATTGTCTAACCTTGGTAATGATAGCTATAAACTCACCAGGATTTAAGTTATTGAATTGTGTTCTGTATCATCAATATATATATTGTAGTAATTTCAATAGTTGAGATCATGAGTCAATTGAAGCTAGACCACCATGAAAAGCCTGGAAGCACTGGAGGATTAATAACTATCCCTCTTTAACTTGATAATTGATATGGACCCCATCAATGTATTATCTTCAAATTCTGGGAACCATATAGTTTTCTCAAGTTACTTATTCTAGAATAGTGGTAAAATGTCAATCTCAGCAAAATTTGTAGAACATACTAATAAAGAGATCCTTCTCGTACACAATGAAATCAGATGAGGTTATTTCGAAGTGGAGCCTAATTCATCATTCATTGTTGAATATACCATTATATTAATAATTAGTAATTCAGTTCAGCATAAAATTCAGGGATCTTAACAATTTATATTTAGTGAGAATAAAATCTGAGATTTCAAGGAAAACAAGCTGACCTAAATTATTCAATCAATAATGACAGAAACCATACTCTTACGAATAACAAAATATGCACACAGTCGAGATCAATAAAGACAACTTACCTATACTCTATATATTCAGTTGTTTTATTACGAAAAATATCTTCTGTAAAATTATCTTTATGCGGATAGATAATTGCTGAAGCCCAACGTGTTGGAGTCAATAAGCTTTCAGTTAAACGCCTTGAAAGAGATGGAATTACTACTGGACTAGGACGAAAATTTATCGGTGATACTGTGGTACTTGTTCGTGGGCGATTTTCACCGATTATTTCTCGAGCTAATAAAGAGAAACAAACAAATCAAACCACAGATTTAATGTTTAAAGTGAAGTTATGGGTAGAAAGGTATTCATTAAGTCCCTTGTCAACTTTACCACACTTGACTTTTACATATTGCTAACGTGAATCTTTTTATTTCATAAATATCATAGCCAAAACTCAAGTTGATAACTTGAAATATATTGAACATTAGGTTGGCTATGTTTGTAATAAAAATGACCTATTTGTGATGATCTAACTTTCAATATGTCGTAATTTTGTAACAAAGTGTATTAACGCCAACGACCGTTTTTGATCACTTTTTCATCAGGCTCTGTGTTGTAATAAATTCGAAATTTCACAGGTTGAAATCATGAGTCAATTGAAGCTAGACCACCATGGAAAACCTGGAAGCACTGGACGGCCGTTTCGTCCCGGTATGGGACTCCTCAGCAGTGCGCATCCACGATCCCGCACCACGCGGGGTCCGAACCTAGGACCTACTGGCTTCGAGCGCGAGCACATAACCACTAGACCACCGAGCCGGCATCCAACGGTGTTAATGTCTAACTTCAACCAATCCACGAAGTTGCGCCACCGTACACCATTGTCTTCAGTGAGCTGATATCTCACAACAGACCTGGTTGAACTCCACTGGTAACGGCTTCTCACTAGAACTCCAGAAGTATCTCCTGAAGTCAGTCACTAGTGAGCAGTTGATTATTATCAGAATGGGTTTTGTGGAGATTTTTAGAAACTTCACAAAAACGAACCTTGGAGTAAAGTATTTTCTCTCATACTTCGCGTCTCCTCCCTGGTGTTCAAGTCGCTGTGTAGCTCTAGCTTGCGGGTTACCAGAATAGCTTAGGAATCGTATATAGCGTTCAATCGACAAGACTTATCAATAGTCAATATCATACGGAATTCCTATGATGGATTAAACTGCAAAATCGTGCATGGAGGACAATTGACAGACTCGTCCGAGGTAAAGACCGGTGTTAATCAAGATTGTTTATTCTCATCCTTTCTCTTTCTCCTAGTGATCGACAGGGTCATGAAGACGTCAACATCTGGGGGGAACCATGGGATACAGTGGACAGCTAGAATGCAGCTAGACGACGTAGACTTCGCAGATGATCTGGCTCTTCTATCGCACACGCAACAACAAATGCAGAAGACGACCAGTGTAGCAACAGCCTTAGCAGCAGCAAGTCTCAACACACACAAAGGGAAAAGCAAGATTCTCCGATACAACACAGCATGCGCCAATCGAATCGCACTTGACGGAGAAGCTTTGAATGATGTAAAAACCTTTACATATCTGGACAGCATCATTGATGAACACGATGGATCTGATGCAGATGTGAAGGCGCGGATCGGCAAAGCAAGAGCAGCATATCTACAATTGGAGAACATCTGCAACTCAAAACAACTGTCTGTCAGCCAACACCAATGTCACAATTTTCAATACAAATGTCAAGACAGTTCTACTGTTTGGGGCGGAAACTTGAAGAACTACGAAAGCCATCATTCAGAAGATACAAGTGTTTATTAACAGTTGTCTAAGCAAAATACTTCGGATCCGTTGCCCAGAAACTATCAGCAACAACCTACTGTGGGAGAGAACAAACCAGATACCAGTGGAGGAAGGAATGAGGAAGAAGTGCTGGAAGTGGATAGGACACACATTGAGGAAAGCATGCGACTGCGCCGCAAGGCAAGCCCTCATTTGGAATCCTCATGGCCAAAGGAGAAGAGGAAGACCAAAGAACACATTACGTCGAGAAATGGAAACAGACATGAGAAGAATGAACAAAATTGAATAGAACTGGAGAGGAAGGTCCAGGACAGAGTGGGGTTGGAGAATGCTGGTCGGCAGCCTATGCTCCATTGGGAGTAACAGCGTAAGTAAATTGTAGTCAGTAGTTCAGCATGAGAAGTAAATTAAGCTTGGGTTAATGGACACAAATAACAACGGTCGTGGGTGCGCACTGTTAAGTCCCATATTAAGACGAAACAGTCATTCCGTTAGGGAACGACGAAGCTATACAATAGATTACTCGAAATGATTCGCTTTTATCTACCACATGACCATTGTCAACTAAGTGTCATAAACTGCCTTAACTGGCGTAATATTTTCAATTATCCATGTCTATTGGAGTAAAGCCTGATGACGATCTAACTGAATGGTTCGCTTATAAATCTTGTTCTAATATACATAGTGGGAATTTTCTATGTATCTTGATGATATTTTTATAAGAAGCTAAAATATTTTATTTTGGTGAGAGAGGGAAAAAATTGATAACAGATATTATCAATCCTGAAAATAAATACACTCACTGGCAGAACTACTGGAATGTTGAAAAAATGAATATGTAGCAGGTAGATCAAATGATGACGGACTACATTGGGAAATAATAACATTATCATTATGACCATCGACAATATCATTTGATTTCTGTTGCTCCATCGAAGCATCATAACTGATTATATCATTATGACTGTTATCATTAACAGTATTAACACTAGTTTCACCACCGACTGGTATTGTTGACGATACAGCTAGAAATGGTGTTTCTTCATTTTTAGCATCTTTAAGAGCTACCCACTTATCATTGTTAAAATGAGTATCTGTTGTATCTGATAAGAATATTCTACCAGTTGGAGCTGAATGAAAGCGTTCAAATCCAGTGTCATTAACCTATAAAGAAGAGAAATAGTTTAGAAAAAAAAAGAAAAATACATTATAAAATACCCTATAACAAAATAAATATGTTTATCCCACTGGAGGACTCACTCACTCACAACTCACTTGTTCAACAGTATCCTCAGCTGAAATTAGTCTATTCTGTCTATTTATCAAATAAATATTCACAAAATCTCCGATCAAGATGTAACGTTGTGCTTACTAGAGACTTGCTTCTAGGTGAACCTCTCAAGTTCTAGTAACAAGTCATTATTGGTGGAGTCTAGTCATGTCAGATGTGTGACAAGTACTGTCGACGGTATCAGATGGTCGCCGTGCTATATTGTGAACTAGTTGCAGTTGAAAACATTGACCACTTCACTCCGAATCAGTGGGCTGAACGTTAGATGGTTTCCATGGGATTTGATGGTTTTAAGTTAGGTTCCGGATGGAAATTCATGCTATGAGAACATGCATAAAGAGTGCATATAGGTAATATTTGATTGTAATCAAACTTGCAAAGAAACGATTGGTTACAAGTTCATAAAGAAGCACCTAGCTAACAGCCTATTGACAACGCAATTCTTGATCACTTCTAAGAGAAAACTTAATTCGTACACAAAGCATTTTTCCAGCAATCCCAATTCGGTTATCCAAAAATGTAAAGTAGATGTTGTTTACAAATCGATCTATCCAGTTGGAACAATGTTATGGAAATAAATAGATATCAAACATTACTGGATTGAGTGACTACTGCCCTTAACAATCCAAAGCCATTATGATATACATATAATGAGCAAAATAAATTCTTGTTTCATGGGCAAATTCACTGAAAATCTTTGTTTAGATGATATAATCATTGATCTGATCTCGAGATGGATTTAGTTTATGCAACAATCAGAAAAAGAGTCAAGTCGAAAATCAAACGGAAAGATCACTTGAACTCAATCAAAGCAGTAATTTATTGACTAATCATGTCACTTACTGAGGAGAGCCGATTAACTTATACATTGGAAGACGGTTGAGCGATATTACGAATCTACTGAAATTAAACATGTAAACCACTGGATGTTTATATAAGAAAATTGTTCGTGAGTTGAAATATGAATTCATTTAATAGACAAAATCTTCAACTCACTTCAATGCCTTCCAACTTTTTACGAGTTCGTAACATTCGACGATTCCACATAGCTGATAGGATAACTTTCATTGCGTGCGGTTTATGAGCAGAAGTTGCAGCAGGTGCAACTGGGAGACTAAAATTCGTGATACTACTCAACTGAAAAGAAATACAAATAAAAAGATTAAGTCAAGACTATACGATCAATTAAGTAAATAAGAGCCTAACAAAATGTGAATCAAACTATCGTTCTTAAAAGATATAGCAGTTATTAAAGCAAAAAAATTGTTTTATTGGTTAGTTATATGATGCAAAGCTACAGCTCAACTGTCGAATTACACGTATAGAGCAATGGTTTATTGATTGTAGAGCTTAGCTCCTAATCAGCAGGCCACAGGTTCGAACCAAGCCTCCATTACTTCGGTTTGGACAGCAAGGTATTATTATCATTGGCCTTTATACAAAGAGTTACACAGTATACTGTTTCTATCTATCCAATGAAAAAACAAAAACAAAACTAGTTTCTAAAAAGTTAATCACCTTTGCTTATTGTCTACAAAATCACATTTATTTTGAACATCTGCCATCATGAAAGTTATGAATTTAATGACAATGACTTACTTCACGTAGATAAACCGGTCTCTGAGATTCAATCGGTGGCACGACAGAAGAATTAGCAAAAGAGACCTAAAACATAAAAAATTGGTATAAGATGATATTCATAGATAAGAGACTTAAATGCAAAAAATAGAAATAAACTTAAATTCTTAGATTTTCATTGTGGCATTTTACAAGATACAATAAATATAAAAGTTAAAACAGTTATTCTGATTTTATGAATTGTATAATCGATTCCGAAAGATTTCTTACTATTCTCTTTTAAAGATATTAGACAGTACTCAAGATTAGAGTATCCCAATGAAGTAGTTTCAACGATTTGCAAGTATAAATATCCAAAACTCCGATGTCTTTCCATATGTTTTAACAAACAAATTCGTTTGCATAGTTGGAAGACTTTATCTCAGATTTTGGTAGTTTAAAGTTGAATAGGCGTCGTAGGAAGTCGAGAATCATATCAAAACCCAGTGGTAAAATGGCTTCTGCAAACTTTAGCAACTTTGAATCGGATATAGGTTCACTTCCGACGAAATTTACTCTAGACAATCCACTTTTTTCAATTCTCATTGATTTGCAGTGAGACCCGACAATCAAACAAGGGTATAAGTGAGCATCTTATCCTTAGTCGTAGCGTGATTGCTTCCACGAGCTGTACGTTCCAGCACTTTTTTTTATTTTCTTTGTTATTAAGTAAATTAAAAGTTATACTTCAAATTTCTTAAACGGTAAGTGTTTATATTTTAGAGTAGAATTTTTTATTTTTAAATCAATCGTTAAATGAAAACTTACGTCAGTATATTCGATTTAATCAGAGAAATAAAGTCACTAATCCTTCAAAAATAGTAACATTTTAAAATAGTTTAACATTGTCACAAATGCCAAAAAATAGTCATGATAGTCTTAAATATAATAATAATAATAATAATAATAATAATAATAATAATAATAATAATAATAATAATAATAATAATAACGTACTTTTCGTCTATTGATAATCTTCATTGGTACAGAATGTGAACTTGAGGCCAGCTGAAATTTTGAAAGGATATGAGACGTAACAACAAAATAAACATGTAATAAAGAATAACTTAGCGATAGTAACTTACACGATGTCTTAACGACGATCTCGATATATCGCATAGAGCTGGAGAGGCAGTCAGCTATAATAAATAATAAAAAAAAGCAAATAGGACATCAAATAAATACTTTCTTAAAAATTCGAAAACATGAGCACTATTGTGCCGCATTCGATTATTAATTTTGACAGAATGACATGTTTGGATAATTTTTTAAAAAAACATTTAACTATAATTGACTGTGAAATTTGAGACATGGATTAGATTTTCTGTTCTTCAATTCAGTAGGTAAACGTAGATGCGTAACAATAATGGTTAATTAACGTCGACAGAATATTTAATCATTTCCCATTAATATCATGTATCAACGTTTTTAAGCGTAATGAATTTGTTGAAATCGTTACACTATAACATGATACTGATGTATAGAAGAGTAGGGTTTTTCTGCAATACAATGACATACTTATATACAAAATATTACCACAAAAATTCACACAATAAGAAGTCATAAGCGATTGCAGAAAATCCGTTCGTGGGTCAATCGCTCTCCAATCAATTAAGACCTGAATGTAAGGTTTAATTCTTAGGCAGCGTATTAATGGTACACATGTCAAATGTATTGTAACGTAACACAGCAAAAACTAATTAGCAACTAGTAGTTACATCCTTGAGAACAATAGTGATTTCAATAAACTATGATTAACTTACAACTGTTAAACGATCACCTTTTATGCTTCCATAACGTTTTATTAAATACCTCAACCGTCGTTCATTCCAATCCTCAATAGTAGTTTCACGAGAATCAAAGCCAAAAAATGATAAAGAACCATCAATTACTGAATTTATAGGTCTAAAAAAATATTGATAGATATCTTAATGCAAAATAGTAATAAAAATTACCTTATCATATTACGACGCGAAACATCCTGGAATAAAAGAATTTGCGTAAAATAAACTATAAACATCAACTACCTTAAAATATTGCGTGTTCCTTCATTTCTACCCAGACTATCAGAATCTCTTCGTGACGTGATCAAAATTAATGTTAATGGTGTAAAACAGCAAACATTGAAATATATGCCAGCTGGTTTGTCTGTGAAGCCAACAAACAACCAATTATATTATACTGAAAGATAATAATAGTTTGAGATTTGAGCAGAAAACACAATATACAAAAACTAGTTGGTAAGATGCTGAAAGCCAAAACGTTTATATTCATAAAGGCGAACAGTGGGAGCAATAAATATAAATCAATTTATCCATACCAAAACATGTGATAAGTCACGTTCTTTATTGATTTTTAGTGATAATATTTCAAAGCTATAGCTATATACACAAACGGGCTTCCAAACATATGCACACAATCATGTGTATGTAAATTACTTGATGACAAAAATATTTGCTCTATAACAGAACCAAGTGAATGACAAGGTAATTTTTAAAAGACGACTGGTAAAGCCAAAGTAATCGGATTAATTCTACGAACTCATAAAACCACCTTAATAATGTTCTGCCGCTTTTTGAGTATGAGATGAGAAAGTGAGTAGTTCCTAACAAAAAACAAATGAAACCAAAACATATGGATGTAGCACTGAGATTGAAAGTAGGCTAAATACTTTCGTAATAGTTTATGAGCTGTCCAGCTAGACAGTACAGCAAGAACCTACGAAGATGGAGATATAAGCTGATGCTTCTGCATCATTTCATTGGAAGCTTCATGACCTTCGGAAAGTCATGGAGTCAGAAACGATCATTGAGGCATATGATATTAGACCTGAAGTCGGTAGGCCGAGTCAAGCTGGTGAATTAGTCGTGAACAACGCTGAACAAATAAGCGGGTATATTTTCATCCCAACCAACTAAACAGAAAACGGTGACCTACAATTATGATCAAATATCACTTAATATTAAGGTGTCAACGTCAAGCTTGATATGAGACAAAGTTCAACCGGAAAATCTACAACATCAACACAAAGAGACTATATTCACATCAAATATCGTAAAAAAAGCTTGACAGAAAACTGTTGCATCTTTTACAGCACATGCTTGAATTGCGATCATGCTCTAGTGCGAAGACCTGTTTCCCAGCATTTTCATGAGTGAAGAAAAGTCAGATAAGGAAGAATGAAAAACATCCATTAAGGAACAAATGTTAACGATCCATTAACGAAACGATAGACAAATACTCAGGTGCTTCACAGAAAGTTATGTACGTGACATCGTGCTATTTGGTGAAAACACTGGCAAAATGCAGAGTATTCCGATGCATGCATGGGACTTGTTTCTCTCCCTCTTTATGTAGAATTTCGTTTCAGAACACCGATCATACGGACTGAGGAATTTCAACACCTATCTAATTTAAAAGTACCATCAGCCTTGAGAGGTTGTTATCTGGAGAAATCTCGTCACTTATTAAGAAACCTTGTTAGGATTTTGTCAACTTGGCCCATTTTTAATATGACAGAGATGTCCGTCTGCCAATCAAATGGCGTGCGTAATACCTATCAGTCCCATCTATATTAATCTGTGTTTGAAATTTTATCTTTGAAACCAGAGCATATGCGTAGGCTGTGAGGTTCTCATAATACTTGACTTCCAAGCATTTCTCAAATTTTGTGAAACAGGTAAGAAATATTGTGGATAGGCATACTATAAAAAGCAAAGATAGCAAATAGTTTGTCAAAAATGTAAATCGTCACAAACAGTAAGTTCACTGAACAACATTACCGAATATACAGCAAACAAACTAAATGTGCAAAATTAGAATGCTCACGAAAATATTTACGAAAAAACATGGCGAAACCCAAGAATTCATTGTCTACTGATCCGAGTTACTTTGGTAGGCGTAGACTACTTGGTCAGGGTCTGGTTGACAACCGCGATCAGTAGCCGAAGACGTTGGGTGGCACAACTCAGGATTGGTCACAGTGGAACAGATACATTCATTTTTTTATCTCCATCCAAATCTTGACTACCAGTATTTCTTCACATGTATCTTTTCATCACATTCTGTCGAACTATAATATTAATGTTTGGTCTTTCTTATTACAAATACTAATACATTAACTGCCCTTCTTTGATATTCAATAGTATTTACCTAAATTGATTTTACTGGTATAACTAGTTTAAATACAAAGTCAATTCAAAAGTAAACCACTTCTTAACTTGCAAGTATTTACAAGAAAAGATTGTGTTCAGTGAGTATTTAGTTATTCCGAGTGGGAAAGTGGCTTACTAGTCAAAGCAACCCTCTGTCAATTTGCGGTCTATAGGTTCAAATGCGAATTAGCCTGCTTTGGTTTGGGTATTCAGGTAGCCTCAGTGGTTCCTACAAAATGGAATTCGATCAAGTATATGAAATGCTATTTTTTTTTACCAAGTTTCACTGGTTAATCATCGATGACAACTACTACAAATCCGTAATAAAGCAACAGCTCTGACTCCAATGATAACTACTCAGACGTTTATCAGGTCACAACACCACTTAAAATAAAGTCAAACTGCTTTAGTTAGTACTTTGAAATGTAAGTGATGGTTAAGGAGGTCACAAGTTCAGTTTTTAGTTTCAAACTTTGTATTTTGCTTATCCTAAATTTGATTGTAATTACACCTCAATTTTACAAAAACTCTAACTCTATGGGTTAGTTAGTTAACTCCATGAGCTAGTTCCATCCACGAGTTCTGACTTGTTCAGCAAGTCATCTACCTTATATTAATTAACCAACGCTCAACATATCTTAGATTTTCTTACAGGCTACCATGAACATAGAGGACTTATTCATGAAACGAAGACCAATAAGTTTGGAATACGTTCAGTTCTTGTAGGATGATTTATAGATACTGATCACACGTAGGTCTGAAAACTCACCAAGTGTATTTTTAGTCCAAGGTTCTGGGTCGGGAGAATTTTGTGGCTATTTTTAAGTAAATTACTTCTGGAACAACTCCAGGACGAAGACTTTCGAGGTGGAGCACAATGTAAAGATATAGTGACCCTTCACATCTCCTATATGGATGTATTCTAATTGTTGGACAAATATTGATAAATCAGACACCATGTGACTATTGAGTCCGTCTTACATTCCTAATAATTCTATATATCTTACAAGTAATCGTGACTTTCTATATACTTATTTCTGTTATCCATGCCCTTGTTGACTATATTTATGTTACTATATGCGCTTTGTTTGTGTGCATGCCTATCCAACAACTACTCTGTTTGTTGTCCATTTACTAGCCTAAATTACTCTGTTTTACCTAAATAAGGTAAGGCACAGAATTAATTAACGAACTGGTATGTCACCAACCCCAAACCTTCGTTTCTTTAGTCCACAATCACAGTTTATCTGTGGATAAGCATGTATGAAATATATAGCTTCTACTAAAATCTCGTATTATTACTTCTGGTATCCCGTCGTATTAACATGTTAAGTTATAGGAATATATATAAAAATTAACATGCGACATACAAGTGTGTACATCACCATGATTCACCATCAATTGGAGTAAAAAAGAGCCAAAACGACCATTTTGAAGAGATTATACGTGCACTTTCCATTAACTAACTCTATAAATGACTTAATGAACAACTCAACACATAAGATACTTCAGGTAGTTAGCTTCGATTGGGTTCCAGAGAGCTTTAAAGTTGTGTTAGTTCAGTGTGTAAAATAAACATGAGACACTAAGTAAGTTAGATTATGGCTTGAAGCGTCGAGACTTGTGTTAGGTCTGAAACAAGATATCTTGCCAATAAACCGAAGACTAAGGAACGACGAGACTAATTTGTGGACGACGTATGAACGAATGTCTAGTGACCTTGAGAATAGTATTCAATCAGTGAACAGTATGTACTGGAAATATATTAAACAAAACCAAGGAAATATAATGGATACATTTCTTATACGTGGTTTAAAAACTTGTCGAGTTCAGAGGTTCTTAAATGGTAATGCATGCAGAAGAGGAAATCATTCATACGCCAGAGCCATGATAGAGCGTCAAAAACTCTTTCAGCCTTGACTACGTAGTCTCATTATTGTTTATGTGCACTTCGGTTGTTCAGTACACAAAATGCTACTTGTGGATGACGACACGATGCACATAACCAAGTCTATGTAGGAGTCTGTAGGCCTTTCAATCTTCCTTATATATTGAAGTATCTGCCTGCAGGCAGTACTACTGATACTTTTATTATCCAGTTCGTGATAGTTGTCATAATTTGTCTCAGTTAGGAATAATATATGGTGTTTTCATCACGAACTGACATCAGCTGTAATGCCAGAAATATTTTCGGTCAAATGGATGAAAGGCTTTAGTGCTCAAGTCCGAGATCTGTTATCTTATACCTGACTGGTTCGTCCACAGATTATAGTCTCGCCGTTTTATATGTTATATCCGCTTAATTATCACGTTTTGTACAAAATTCCTTAGGAACCCATCGTACGTTAGCACTAAGCACATAAGTTGGCGCCGTAACCTTGAGATCCCTCAGACGTCTCTGTCTCGTCCATATAGCAGAGTCTCGCCTACAAAATAGTAAACTACGGTTTTCAGTAATGACACAAAGTAATATGGGTCGGTTATAGTTATTCCCACAATTCAAAGTGATGTGATACATTAATTTCGTCTTAGAATTATAATTGAGCAGTAGTGATTCAATGTGTAATGTCCAATATCATTGTAACGAGCCAGTTCCAGTAAAATTTATAGTTATTTGTTGATTCGTATATCACACGCTTTGATTATATGCACCAGTGCAGTCGAGGGCTAGAAAACCACACACTGGACTATGATATTAGACATTATACATTGAATCGCAACTGCTTATTGATAATTCTGAGACGAAAATAATTTATCACATCACGTCGAATTGTGAGGATAACCATAACTCACATTACTTCGTATCATTAATGCAAACCGTATTTTGTTTACTATTTTGTTTTATGCTAGCAATTCACCAGCTAGTGTGATGGCAAATTTTTGGTTGGGGATACAGTTTGCTGGGATTGGACATTTTAGTGCTGGACAACTTTGTGGGCTTTCAATTCGTGATTCTTTACATTACTAGAAGGTGTTTTTTTTATTTCGATAACGTCTGTCTCTTTATCCTAACAGCCTGAACTCATTTGGAAAGCTCGAGTAATTTACCATAGTAACATCTCACTAGTATATGTAGATTATGAAATTATTTTAATATGTTCCCTATATCTTGATTGCGTGAACCATCATTTGTTTGCTTAGACTGTTGTTATCAGTGGGAAGGTTATCTATTGCGCTTGTTATTCACGATCAATCGCAACTATCGTTCACAGACACTGTTTGTATGCAATTTTACAGAAAATTAGGATGAAATAAAGTATCGTTAAAAAAGCCGAGTATATTTCAGTAGTTCCTTAGTCTTTTACTTTGTTTGTGCTGTCTGTGGTAAGTCTCAGAAATGTGGCTTATTGGCAAGTTATCTTGTTTCAGACCTAACACAAGTCTCGACGCTTCAAGCCATAATCTAACTTACTTAGTGTCTCATGTTTATTTTACACACTGAACTAACACAACTTTAAAGCTCTCTGGAACCCAATCGAAGCTAACTACCTGAAGTATCTTATGTGTTGAGTTGTTCATTAAGTCATTTATAGAGTTAGTTAATGGAAAGTGCACGTATAATCTCTTCAAAATGGTCGTTTTGGCTCTTTTTTACTCCAATTGATGGTGAATCATGGTGATGTACACACTTGTATGTCGCATGTTAATTTTTATATATATTCCTATAACTTAACATGTTAATACGACGGGATACCAGAAGTAATAATACGAGATTTTAGTAGAAGCTATATATTTCATACATGCTTATCCACAGATAAACTGTGATTGTGGACTAAAGAAACGAAGGTTTGGGGTTGGTGACATACCAGTTCGTTAATTAATTCTGTGCCTTACCTTATTTAGGTAAAACAGAGTAATTTAGGCTAGTAAATGGACAACAAACAGAGTAGTTGTTGGATAGGCATGCACACAAACAAAGCGCATATAGTAACATAAATATAGTCAACAAGGGCATGGATAACAGAAATAAGTATATAGAAAGTCACGATTACTTGTAAGATATATAGAATTATTAGGAATGTAAGACGGACTCAATAGTCACATGGTGTCTGATTTATCAATATTTGTCCAACAATTAGAATACATCCATATAGGAGATGTGAAGGGTCACTATATCTTTACATTGTGCTCCACCTCGAAAGTCTTCGTCCTGGAGTTGTTCCAGAAGTAATTTACTTAAAAATAGCCACAAAATTCTCCCGACCCAGAACCTTGGACTAAAAATACACTTGGTGAGTTTTCAGACCTACGTGTGATCAGTATCTATAAATCATCCTACAAGAACTGAACGTATTCCAAACTTATTGGTCTTCGTTTCATGAATAAGTCCTCTATGTTCATGGTAGCCTGTAAGAAAATCTAAGATATGTTGAGCGTTGGTTAATTAATATAAGGTAGATGACTTGCTGAACAAGTCAGAACTCGTGGATGGAACTAGCTCATGGAGTTAACTAACTAACCCATAGAGTTAGAGTTTTTGTAAAATTGAGGTGTAATTACAATCAAATTTAGGATAAGCAAAATACAAAGTTTGAAACTAAAAACTGAACTTGTGACCTCCTTAACCATCACTTACATTTCAAAGTACTAACTAAAGCAGTTTGACTTTATTTTAAGTGGTGTTGTGACCTGATAAACGTCTGAGTAGTTATCATTGGAGTCAGAGCTGTTGCTTTATTACGGATTTGTAGTAGTTGTCATCGATGATTAACCAGTGAAACTTGGTAAAAAAAAATAGCATTTCATATACTTGATCGAATTCCATTTTGTAGGAACCACTGAGGCTACCTGAATACCCAAACCAAAGCAGGCTAATTCGCATTTGAACCTATAGACCGCAAATTGACAGAGGGTTGCTTTGACTAGTAAGCCACTTTCCCACTCGGAATAACTAAATACTCACTGAACACAATCTTTTCTTGTAAATACTTGCAAGTTAAGAAGTGGTTTACTTTTGAATTGACTTTGTATTTAAACTAGTTATACCAGTAAAATCAATTTAGGTAAATACTATTGAATATCAAAGAAGGGCAGTTAATGTATTAGTATTTGTAATAAGAAAGACCAAACATTAATATTATAGTTCGACAGAATGTGATGAAAAGATACATGTGAAGAAATACTGGTAGTCAAGATTTGGATGGAGATAAAAAAATGAATGTATCTGTTCCACTGTGACCAATCCTGAGTTGTGCCACCCAACGTCTTCGGCTACTGATCGCGGTTGTCAACCAGACCCTGACCAAGTAGTCTACGCCTACCAAAGTAACTCGGATCAGTAGACAATGAATTCTTGGGTTTCGCCATGTTTTTTCGTAAATATTTTCGTGAGCATTCTAATTTTGCACATTTAGTTTGTTTGCTGTATATTCGGTAATGTTGTTCAGTGAACTTACTGTTTGTGACGATTTACATTTTTGACAAACTATTTGCTATCTTTGCTTTTTATAGTATGCCTATCCACAATATTTCTTACCTGTTTCACAAAATTTGAGAAATGCTTGGAAGTCAAGTATTATGAGAACCTCACAGCCTACGCATATGCTCTGGTTTCAAAGATAAAATTTCAAACACAGATTAATATAGATGGGACTGATAGGTATTACGCACGCCATTTGATTGGCAGACGGACATCTCTGTCATATTAAAAATGGGCCAAGTTGACAAAATCCTAACAAGGTTTCTTAATAAGTGACGAGATTTCTCCAGATAACAACCTCTCAAGGCTGATGGTACTTTTAAATTAGATAGGTGTTGAAATTCCTCAGTCCGTATGATCGGTGTTCTGAAACGAAATTCTACATAAAGAGGGAGAGAAACAAGTCCCATGCATGCATCGGAATACTCTGCATTTTGCCAGTGTTTTCACCAAATAGCACGATGCCACTTACATGCTCTGTGTCTATTATTAATTTTGAGGAAGTAAATAATTCCTTGCAATGCTATATGACAAAAACTTTATTTGCACTAGTACGTCCATTGCATTATTAAGTAGTGATATAGTTATCAAGAAAAGCTAATGTACATCGCTTGAAGCTAACAGTGTAGATTAGAATTCACTTTGAGTTCATACTCGTCTAGTAGTAGTTGAGGCGAGCCTACACAAAATTTATTTACTCCTTTGGCACAAATTTCAACAGCCCATATTGTTGTAAAGTCTGTTTGGTCGACACAGTTGAGTGGCAGCTAAAGTTCGGTAGTTGAAAAATTGTTTAGTGCATACCGCTTATGTTTTTGTTGTTCTACCTTAGTTCTATGCATGGCCATTCTAGTTTTCAGGCCATTTGATTTTATTCCGTTTTAGAGTGTTATGAATATTATACTATGCATATTGGTGTTAATAAATCAGACTATTTACCATCATTGATAGTGCAGAAATCACCTGTTAACTTTTATATTGGACTTTGCCTCGCCTTATTGTCGACCTTATTCATTGGAACTAGTTTTATATTTAAAAAGCTTGCACTTCGTCGAAGTTCCAGGAATGGATTTAGCGCTGGTGAGTGAACCCATTCATTTTGACCTCATTTATGTATAAATTTAACGATATCTGTAAGGTGTATGTAGTTTCAAGTAACATATGTTTCATGTGAAATTTAAGTCGGTGTTGTAGGTGGAAACTCAGGTTGAATTATTCATTCTAGTGTTAAATTTTGAAGGATATTCATAGTTTGTTAATAGATTCATTAAACACTTCAGCACTATGATATTGAAGTAGCAAAGTTATGTTACATCCAGTTCCACAGAACTCGGACAAACGGTGTTATTCTTATAATGAGTCAGAATCGTATATCGGGGATCAGTTACTTATTGGTTTAAGCAGTCGGTTTTCAGTCATTAAGTCAGATGTTTGGGTCATTATATGTCATCTCTTATATGGTTAACCAGATAGTCTCTCTAGCTGTCAAATATCCCAGGTTGGCTCGAGTATGGATATACAAAAGCGTAGTTTGTAAATGAGTTGGTTGTAGCTTACTAATTATGACTGTATATTTACTTCATTGGTTGGGATGTGCGTTGTCGATCATGGACTACTGCTTTTTTGACATGTTATAATGGTTAACGAAGGAAAGAAGGAAGTGTGCATATTCTTTATCCACTTGAACCTAGTATTGAAGCTGGCAACTGTTAATAGGTAATCCCATGTGATTAAAGCCTAAAGATAACAGTTTATTGTTTCACTATCTACTAAAAATGTACTTATATATATATATATATATATATATATATATATATCTTGTACGTTTGTTAAGTAAGCTATATTATTATAGTCAAAAATGAATATTTGGTGAATAATCGGTAAATTTACCACATGATAGCCTTAAGATATGATCAGCGAGCTTAGATGACGTGATTTTAAACCCGTTTTGATCGGGAAGTTGCATCCAGTTTTCGTATTCTGCTCATGAATGAGTATTAGTATTACTTCATACTTCGTTGTTATCGATCTCGTTAGTTCATTTTGAACTAGACTGCTTCTGGTTTCTTCTCCACTGGAAGTTTTACTATTATTATCTGACTATATATTAGTCGTCATTTTGATAATTCCCTCTCATAATTTAATCATGTGGAATGTGAAATATCCACAAAACCCCTTTTGATTATAATCATCATATACCCACTAGTGATTGGCTTCAAGAGGTATTTCCTGGAGTTCTAATGAGAAGCAGTGACTAGTGGAGTTCAACCGGGTTTGTTGTGGGATAGTAACTCACTGAAGACAATGGTGGGTGTGTTGCTCAATTTGGTGAATTAGTTGAAGTTAGGAATTAACACCGTTGTATATCGGCAAGCTCAGTGGTCTAGTGGTTAAGCGCTCACGCGCGAGACTGATAGGTCTTGGATTAGAATCTCGCGATGCGGTATCGTGAATGCGCATCTCTGGGGATTCACACAATAGGACGAAATGCCTGTCCGATGATTCCAGGTTTTCCATGGTAACCTAGTTTCAATTGACTCATGCTCTCAACTATTAAAATTCTAAAATAAAAACGTTTGAGAAAAAAACTACTTTTCAACTTATTATTATTGAGTCAATTGATCACAATTGACTTAAATGATTTACTCGAATTCAAATGACCTTAATTGACATCAAGAATTAATCTCTTTATTTTCAATAAATTTGTCTATAATAAATTAGTTTTATCAATTTGTTTGATTAATTTAAAATTTCTGAATATTCATAAATCTATGCATTTGCTTATATTCACATTTAATGAATTGTAACTTAAATATCAAGTATGGATCTTATGTAGTCGGCTTTTAATTACAATGTAAACACCTGAGTGGAATGTGAGGTTTGGATCTGGAACTCGTACTAACTGAAAGTCGAATATTTTAGTCAATAAAATCCAAACCTTCAATTTGTACGGTACTGTATTTCATATGATAATCAATGGATTATATCCATACATAAAAGGAAATGTATGAACCGTCGTACATATGTGTATGTGTATGACAACAATAGAGAGGGTCTACTTAACCAGCTTTAAACCGAATTTTTGTACGTCTGTGATGGCTAGTACACCTACCTGTCTGGATGGCAAAGAAATTAAACCAGTTGATGAGATTACAAAAGTGAACCTGCTAAGCTGATACATATTGTCATATTATAATTGGACTAAAATTAGCCTGTTCCAGTCCGTGATGGGTACTTCAACAATCTCTACAATCCTCTTTTCAATAGTTATTTATGTGGAACTAATGTATAAATGCTTTTTTTATTATTATTTATTTTACTAGGTGATGGATCCCTAAGTTATTTGTGTGAATGGATGTGGTGGATGGGTTTTATTCTAATGGGTATTGGTGAATTTGCCAATTTTGTAGCGTATACATTCGCTCCAGCTATACTAGTGACACCGTTAGGTGCATTATCTGTACTTGTTAGTGCACTGTTAAGTGTACGCTTTTTAAATGAACGTTTAAATTGTATTAGTGGATTTGGATGCGGTATATGTATATTAGGTTCAACTTTAATTGTATTACATGCACCAAAAGAACAAAATTTAACATCACTACATGAAATGTGGTTAAGAGCTACCGATCCATGTAAGTTTTATATTCTATATTGTACATTCACAACATTTTATCTCTAATATGACTATTCGTGTTCCTTTTTACATAATCAATGAAGCATAAGAATTCCCAATAAGAATAACAACAAGCTAAATTGATGTGGCCACAAAATATTTATTATTTGGATCTCTATAACTTTGGCATGATTGTACAAGTAAAATATCAAATCACAATCAATATTACAAATGATAAGTCTCAATGGGTGCATAATTAAGATTTTTTAAATATAAACCAGTCAACTATTGAGTGGTTTACTGGGGTGTTACTTACAGATCGATGAAAGACAATCACATCAATTAGTGAGTTAGACAAAAAAGAAAGAACTTACAATTAAAATTATTCTTTCAAAAAATGTACTATAAAACAATCATTTTGACTGATTACATCATGGGGAACAAACAAAATAATTCACTAACTATCCAAGTTTTATAGTTTGATTTGGTTTAGTGATTTATACAAGTTGATTAGATACTAACTATAAACAAGATTTTATCAGCAACTGTTAGTATTTGAATAGTTTTTCATAGTTTAATTATACATCACAGGTAACTGTCTCAGTCCTAGTTGTAAACTTTTTAGTTAAACTCCATTCATCCGTGTAAAGTTGTTAGCGAAACATTTTTGCAATGTCCCATGATTTTCTATAATTCTCTAGTTGATATCAGTCTTTTCATATTCGACTAATTTCCACAATAACTTGATGAAATTGGTTGCTCACTTAGATTAGCCTTTTTCTTTCATAGCATAGGAACTTTTTTCTGACAGCTTAGTAGTTAAGTAAACTAAACAAGCATCCATAATAGTAAAACATTGGTTTTAGGCTGATATTTAAACAAAATTAGGAAAGAAATGGGTGATCGATAAACGTATGTTGAAAAACTAACCGATATTATATCTTTCTGTACTTGTTGCACACAAATCTATTTTGTCATTCTTTAAGGTAATGAGCAATTTTTAACTCAACTCAGAAAGACATATTACTTACCCATAACACCAGAAAATTGTTCCACGTATCCCAATACCTCAGTATGTAATATGATGTCTGTCCAGTGTCCCTGAAGTATTTACAAGAGAGTTTGATATTTCCCGATGAAGTTCTCCTCTACTCACTCAAAGATTACTAACTACTCAATCTTGACTCAGTTCGGATAGTATTTCTACATTCTAAATAGTAGTGAAATCTATACTATACCTCAGACTCTGATTGACACCTAAATTACCTTGGAGTATCTACATCAATAAGCGCACAAATAAGTTGTTCTAAGAATGTATCATTAAGAATGCAAAGAATCTTGTTCATCTACAACGGCTTCACATGGCATATAAAATTGTTGAGGTTCAAAATCGGTTTTCCCTGTCAATCCTTTATTTTTTCTATACACGATTCTACTTACTCTCCATGTTTTATTGCGTACTCACCAGTAAGACGACGAAATGTTTCAATGGAACATCGACGGTATGTACCCTTGTGACTTGTAACTATGCGTGTCACCAACATCGTACTTCACTTCAGAGTTTACTTTGAACAGACAAAAAACAAACCTGATTTATTAATGTTCCCAATGCAATTTAGATCAAAAGAAGCATGTATCTGACGTGCCTTTTTATTCATACGAACTCATTCCTACTTCATAATGTTGTAGCGTGGTGTCAGGTCGCGATAGACTATGAACACCACTACAAAGGAACGCATGCCAGGATATCCATAAAACCCCCCGGAAGCCAAATATCAGAAGGCAGTTAATGGACCAAGTCGAGATATATTTGCTGGCGATCTCGTGGTATCGAAAGAATACCGAGATCGTGCCAGGTACAAGCTTGGTTACAGAACGTAACCGAATTCGCGCGAAGTCACAATCAAAGTGTAAGAATAATGAATGCTTTTTAGCACAGTTAAACAAAAGCACATTAAAACAGTCACTGGTACAATTGGTTATAATAATTGTTTTCAATAAACCAGTCGTGTTCTCGTGATAAAAGTGAGTCACTACAATGTCACAACAGATTATGTCTTAGTAAATTCAAAGAATTTATTTAAGTCTTATGTTGGCTCACCAGTTTAGCGACCCGAGATCTGACTCCGATTTGGACGAGCGTATGAATACTCCAAGAATATGGATCTTCCATTTAATTATGTTACACTTAAGTTCACCTGTGTGTGTGGAGATAATAAAAAACCAAATGCAGATTAAGCTGGATTGGTTTATTTCATACAATAGTTTATTCAGACTATTCAGAAATTAATAATGAGAAGCGGGAGAGCTAAGCGAGACGGAGAATACAACTGTACCAACTCCTTTTGATAATGTGTGAATCAATATTTACAGCCAGACAAAAACGAGCTAAAGACTTGTAATAAATGGAGTCAGCGATACACACACACACACTCATCTAAAAACCAGTCAAGGTCAATAAGCGAACAATTGACAAGGTCAAAATGTGGCTCAAGTAGAGTAAAATCAATCGATCTGTCTGAAATTTAGAGTAACCGATGTGGGTTGACACTGCACTCTACATGTTTTTTCTAAAAACCGGAATGTTAAAGGATTGGTGTTCGGCATTTCTTTTCAATTTTCACATTAAGATATTGATGTTATCTTTGTTCTGATAGACCTCATAGTACAGTGTAGTCTAATCATAAATGTAAGTCCAAAGCCTATTGCATAGACGCATACACTTAGTTTCTGTGTTTGTAGGTTCTCATCAATCATTTCATTGAAGAATCACATGCACTTTGATCAAAACTTCAGATAAAAATTCAGAAAAAATCAACTTGTTTCGAGCTTGGAACCCTGAAGCGATCACTTCAATATTCTTATATTTTACTCATTATACATTGCACTGATGCATTTATTTATCTAAGTATTTTGTTATTATATTTGATTGTTTTTCTTCTCAGCTTTCATTATCTACAGTTTATTCGTTATATTAATGTCCATCGTATTGATTTTTATTTTGGGTCCACGTTATGGTAAAACAAACCCAATTATCTTCACATTGGTCAGTGGAAGTATTGGCTCATTGTCAGTTGTTGCTTGTAAAGGTATTGGTGTAGGATTAAAAGTGAGTAGAAAATGAGCTTTGAGATGGTGGAGATTTGTAGTTCAGGTGGATGATTTTGATAGAGTTTTGTTCTCTGAGCTGAATGGTTTGGTTGTGAAGCTTTCATCGTTCTTCTGGACGACATCATCAGCACAAACTTCAGGTAGAGGTGAAGTGTTCGAATTTCTCCTTAACATCGAGGTCTACAGGACAATCTGTGAGCCATATGCGAAGAAATTCGAACACCACTTCTACCTGAAGTTTGTGCTGATGATGTCGTTCGGAAGAACGATCAAAGCTCCACGACCAAAACATCCAGCTCAGAGAACAAAACTCCATCAAAAAAGCTTCATATTTTCCTAAAAGATTTTTTTGATTTATCCTCTATATTCCTTTTAATTACACATTTCAAAATCGTTGATTATACTTAAATTATTTGCAAACAGTGATTAAACTGTAATCCAGTAGCTCACTTTTGCTCTGCTTATCTTGGTGTTGAATTAAGGACGAGTTAGGTAGAAAACTTGAGTATTTTTACCCATAGGTGTATACTCATCAGATCAAAATACGTTTACAATCTGTAAATAAATTAAAATGATTGAATGTAACTTATTTGCAAAGTACAGATTTGTCTATTCATTTCTAAGTCTCAAACTCCAATTATCAGGCCTAATTGTGCTACCCAGTTACGAAAATCTAACCATCACTCAATGGGTGATGTTATCTGGTGTAGGAGAAAGTTGGAAGGAATCTAGGAGTGGTCAAATGAAAACATGATATTAGCCCGCGAAGTCACCGACTGTTGAACTGATCTATGTTAGTAGATGCCGACTACTTGGATGGGTTTCATTTAATGACCACTATCAGCGATTGATTAGCTTCATGTCATCATGCTAATAGGGCATAACATTTTGGGCCAACGCACATTTGTGGTATGCCCTACGTTGATTATGACTAACTGTAAATGAAGTAAATGGGACAGAATTCGAATCCTCTACTTACTGATTGAAAGGTGAACAAATTGAAAATTAAGCCACCGTTCAATTGTAGAATTAGCATCCGCATAATATATAACATCCAAACTTAATGAGAAAGTGTTCTCGGCATTAATTCTATTTTAATAGTTGATATCATGAGCCTTTGGATGCCGGCTCAGTGGTCTAGTGGTTAAGCGCTCGCGCGCCAGACTGATAGGTCTCGGGTTCGAATTTCGCGAGGCGAGATCGTGGATGCTCACCACTGAGAAGTCCCACAATACGACGAAATGGCCATCCAGTGCTTTCAGGTTTTCCATGGTGATCTAGTTTCAATTGACTCATGATCTCAAATATTAAAATTTCTATAGTATCCACAAAACCCCTTCTGATATTAATTCTATTCAAATCGACTATTTTATGATCTAACGGAATTATCAAAAATGTTGTTGTATTTTTTAAATCACATTTATTTAATAATAAGTATATGTCATTTACTTAGCTTCTTCGTATTTTTCCCACCAAAATCACTTTTTACACAAAAAAATATTTTAGAATGCATTCACTGTTGGCTTTTCATCAATGTTCTCATCATGGTTTTTTTGGTTCCTGATGATCTGGCTTATTGGTGCAATCACAATACAAATGTATTATTTAAATCGAGCATTAGATTTATTCAGTACTGGCATAATTACACCGTTACTATATGTGTTCTTCACTGGCTTTGTAATCATTGCATCAACAGTGTTATTTCATGAATTAAATGCATTGAATTATATGGATTATGTTGGTTTAATATTCGGTTTGATATTCACAGTGTTAGGTATTGTTATGATTACTGTGCTAAAGGTGAGTGTCAGCATGTTAGTTTGTTTAAGTGGTGTACAACTTTGTACTAAGGATCAAACAATTTACTAATGAAGAAAAAAAATGAAAAAATGATCTGATTTTTAAAACGAAAACCTGAAAAGTTTTTCACACCACTTCTCTCTCTCTCTCTCTCTCTTAGACGGAACTGAATTATGCGCTATCGATACTTGTGCAGTTTTGAGCACTAATTCTATGATATTAGAGACATTATAATTGTTTTATTTTTGGTTCAGTGTAACAAATTGATCTAGTTCGTTTAGTACATTGAGAGTGTTGTACATTTTTCCAAGGTTTTAGATGTAAATAGTCGGTTTAATAATCAGAAATCTTGTCTATGAGAAGTATCTATTTATAAATTATGAATATTGGATCAGTAGTCGTATGCAGGTTCACATACTGAAAAAGTTAAGTGTGTTAGCAATAATGATATTGCCACTTCTCTTAGTTGCCTAAACATAAGCTGGTCCTGTGCTGAAATTAATTATTTAAACTACTGATCCTAAATAGTTCAATGATACGGTCTTTGATTATGAAGATATGCCTTGCTAGAAAAGATCAACTATGAAGCGACATAAGTCTAAAATTCCTGAAAATGAACTCTGGAAATCGATGCTTGGGTATTGGTTTCCTTTTATTGAGAATGTGTTGACTTTTTGGTATGTGCTTTTAATTAGAGTTGACTGGGGTCAATACAAAATCCCCTGTAGCTCTTCTAGTGTTACTGCCGGTCCCAAGCCTGGGTAAAGAATGAGGGATAGGAGTGGGGTCAGCAACCCCATCCCGTAGAAAACAACTTGCTGAAAAAAATGTAAACAAATTAAACATATGCTCCAGATCAATATTATGACTAATTAAATTGCTCATAGCGAAATTCAGTATTATGACCTTTTTCGCATTATTATTGTGATTTGTCCAATTTAAGCAATAATATATAGTTGAAACCTATTTGGATTTGTTATTCCATCTCATAAAATACCATATATATTTTGGTGTCTTCTTATCTTATTGGTTTTTACTGAGACATGAGAGTTGTCTTTAAAGTTTCATCTTGTTGCTTCTTGTTTACCAATTATTGTCAGTCAGTTTAGTCACTATATACCTGTTGTATATTAGAAGTATCTGTCACCATTTATACCTTGAACTCCGAAATAACTACAAATCATACCAGCTTAACTCTCTAGTCCTACAACTTAATAAAGTATAATTTTTTTGCATAAAGAAACCATGATATAAGTAATCAGTAAAATCTCATTAAATTGATGACGTATAGCATTATTTGATTATGAGTTTAATAAAACGCAACCCAGGTTTTCTTTTAATTTCATCTCCATCTTTTTGACATAATCTACTTATTCCGGCAACTGCAGACGAACATCATGTAGTTTAGAACGGTATTAGTTATCATTCGTCAGCAAAATGTGTCTACAATTTCATGAGAATTTGAACTTGATTTCTATGTGATTTACACTTGTTTAATCGAAAGTTGTTCGGTAAGAATCACTCTTTTAATGGTTGATTAGTGTAGTACCTTTTTGTCCATGGTTAAAGGTAAAAAGTTAGTTTTTTGTTATGTTTAATTTAATAGGAAGTCATACAGTAAAGAGTAAGATTTCTATTCGACGTTATTAGTTTAAACAATACAGTTGGTTTGTTAAAATATATACTTGTGATAAGTGTTCGTGAGGATCGTTTAATGTGAATTTAGTTTTTGTTGTCTTTATATAATAATGATCATCTGTTCAGTATTGACCAACTTTGAAAGATAATCTTGATGTCCTCATTGAAAATCATAATCAATAGAGATTTAAACCAGGTTGGAAAGGAGACAGTAGCTTACCAAGGATACTGCATGATGGTCGTTTCATATTGTGTACTACTTAAGGTATAGAATGTAGGTCTTTGAATCCTGACTGGCTGATCTGAAAGGACCGTGTTTGTCGTGTTACCTGAATACCCGATTCTTGTGATGATCGTGAATATGCACTGTTGAGCTAAATACTACTAATGTTTAGTGTGTCTTGGTTTTCAGTGATTGAATGGTTGACATAAATTTTTGAGAAGATTCAATGAAACCTAGACTCACCTCTATAAATCTGTTAACCAAGTAGTACTATCTTATTTGAACTATAACTTAGCGGATGATCTGTAAATTAGTAGAATTATCAACTGATTCAATGAAATGAAGTATTCTAATCAGTTCGTTCTTATATTATCAGTTATACACATCAATTCAGTCATGTTTAAATGCTGTTCGAACCTTTAAATCTACAAAATAATTCACCATATCTTCATTATGTCTGTTTGCTGCTGTTGTAATTGTGTGTTGTTTTGTTGTTTTTTCCTCACTATTTTGTTAGGATTCCAATTTCTCATGGAAGAGCTTACGAACATTTTTTCATGCAAAGCATTCAACCTACTCGTCATCAAACAGTTCATTTGACATGCACAATAAACTTTATCGTCGTATTACTGCATTCAAACCAACATTGTATGACTGGAAAACTCGACATGGTAGACGTTTATCATTCGATCAATTGAGTACCGAAAAGTTAATCTCTGATCATCATTCTGATTCTGAACTCACTGATGTTGTACAGCTATTGCCACATATAACTAGTCGTAATATTAATCAAAATGGTCATCTAATGTCAGGTAAGGCAAAAATGAAAAGAATTCAAACATTTACTGATTCTCCACAATTGTATACTCTAACAAACGGAATAGTTTCTGTCTCTACTTAAAACTTTGAGACAAACTAAACAAGATTCATTTCATTTATAAGTATGACAATCATCGTAAATGTATAGTTGTCCTCATAGGTGGATGATGCATATATATACTCTCCAAATCACGTTATATGTCACATTTCCATTCGTGCTTTAAGTTACTTTTATTTTCAACCGTTCCATTTAGATCATTTAAATTTCCATCTGTACTGTAAACCCTTGAAATAAGAATGACAATTACGAGTTATTGTCTTTCACAACTATTCTCATAATTTTTATCATGATTATTATTGTCGTTACTATATTTCTTTCTTCCTTTTTGTTTTGAATAATTCTAATTAGATTTTGTATAGGATAGTATTTTCTGATTGTTGATAAGTAGTATAAGTTGGTTTATTTTTTCGTTGTTGCTTTCCCTCCCCCCCCCCCATATTTATGGAACATTAACCACCTATACTTTTATTACTGATTATCTAATTAGAATTAGATAATCTTATATTTGACTAATATTATTAATTTTATAAATTGTATGAACATTATTTAAGCAAATTATTCAGACTACTTATTAATTTATTGAATAATTAACTTTATTATTTATTTATATATCCATTTACTTATTCATTCATTCATTCTTATTTACAAACATTGATATGTAAACAAAATGAGCATATTTGAATAAGATTTGAAATTGCAGTTTAGTGTTGTTGTTTGTTTGTTTTTCTATGCTGTTTTCTTGATATGAATTGTTTGTTTCAATTTTAGAATCTAATAAATAAAAACAAAATTATAATCAGAGAAAGGTTTTTGTGGATGTTATAATAATTTAATAGTTGAGTTCATGAGTAGACGGTGGAGCAACTTCGTAGATTAGTTAAAGTTAGACATTAACATCGTTGGATATCGACCGGTTCGCGCTTGCATGCGAGACCGATAGGTATTGGGTTCGAATTTCACGAAGTAGGACCGTGGATACACACTACTGAGGAGTCTCATACTAGGACGAAACGACTATCCAGTGCTTTCACGTTTTCCGTATTGGTCTGACTTCAATTAACTCATCAATTCAACTATTAAAAAAATAAGATCCATATTGTCTTTTTTAATCTTATTGTTAATTTTGTTTACAAGAGAAAATCTTTTTTAAAGTTGAACGTAATTATCTTTTCTTAATATTATATTACCTTATAATAATAATAATAATACAATCAGTTATAATATGTATGAACCCTTCATTGGAAAATCTTTAATTGATTTATTCGAATATTTTATTCCATCTAAAGTTGGTTTTATTTGGTACAACTATGAAAGAAAAACAATCATGTATTCATTTGATAACTATGTTAATCTATTTAGACTTACTATACTTGAGGGGGGGGGCAGAGTATGATGTAATTACAAAATATCACTTAATAAGGTAGAGATTATTATTTCAGCTTAAATAAAGATTATATTGATCTAACAGTACAATGGTTGAATATTCTAAAACATCGATACTTATACTACCTATTTTTATTCATTATTATCTTTCTAATGGTCGATTGGTTAAACATACTTCAATGGTACTGAGTTAACTAATCATATGTCAATGTTATATAAAATGTGATTTTTCGTACCAAAACTGACATCAAGTTAGATTTTCAATGATTTTATGCTCACTCAGTTATTAATTGTTAAATGTTGTGTTATTTATTTTTGTGTGTACATAGTTGTGTATTTTATTTGATTAAATGCAACATAATAATGAATCACTAGTCAACCTATTCGATCAAAGGGCGAGACTCTAATTTATGGATGAGCCAATCAGAAGCGTTTGATGAATTTCAAGGTCACAGAGTTAATTTCAACACCTGATACTCACATACGACCGGTTTACAGCGAACTTTAGAGAAGAGGTGATTATTGAGCGGCTACAAGAGATGAGACTACTAAGAAGTTCCTGTACCTGTGACTGCGGTACAGTGTGCAGACTATCATGATGAGATTGTGTTTCGTTGTTCTTTATGTTGGAGAAGAAAGTCTGCTCGAACGGGGACTTTCTTCGCTCGATCGCGACTGAGGCGAATCATGATAATAGTTGCAAATTGGATTATAAAGGCACCAGTAACACTGGCTGCGGCGTTTGCAGATGTTACTGAAACTCCAACCGTCCAGTGGTATGAGTATTGTCGTGATATATGTGCACTTCAAATGACACGTCTAAACGAATCATTCGGAGGAGTCGGAAGTATTGTGGAAATAGATGAAACAGTAGTGCGAGAGCGAAAATACAACAGAGGACGTAGTATCAAGGAAGATTGGGTAAGTAGCACTTCCGTAAATATACTTGACAGGTACTTGGAATTTATCATCGCTCAACGCAAAAGGGGCATTTCCAGAGGGTGACAAACCGTCAAGCAAGCACAATAATACCAGTTATAAAGGAATACGTGCAGCCGGGCACTACGTTATATACAGATGATTGAAGAGCGTATAGATGCCTTCATAGACTTGAGTATGTCCATCATGTCGTAGTGCATAAACGCCATTTCGTCGACCCTACTACCGGCGTTCATACTAACAACATTGAAGCCATGTGGTCGAGATTGAAGGAATTTTTAAGACCGTACCATGACTCCAGAAGACGACTATTATGGAGCCATATGAACGAGTTCCTATATCGTATGCATTATGATTTCAGAACATCTGAACCTTTATCAAACGTTAACAAGTTTTTAAATCACGTAAAAGAAGAATATCCACTGTAATTCATTAGTTTCTTATAATATATTTTTACTTTATACTAACTGTCTTCTGACTGGCTAATAATTGTCAAGGTCACTTGAGATTCGTTCAAGGTTCGTCCATAAATTAGTCTCTCCGATCAAAGTTCAAGTTAAAGACTATTGGTGAATGTAACTAGTCAATTGATCCAATGTCATGGATATATGTCCTTTCATGAGGCCATATTAAGTCTTTTCTCATTTATCAAAATCCTGACTAGTGAATGATTGTCAATCTTAATATCGTCAGTTATTACGACTGCTGCAGAGCAAAGCTAGGCATGTCATATGGTATGTGAGATGTAGGTTTGAATAGGTGTTATCTCATTGCAATGAGAAGCCGAGAATATTGTTCTCCGATTATTCACTAATAACCCCGGGTTAATATATAGAGTTTTAAATTTAAATTACTGAGCTAATGTAAACTGGCCAATAATATCTATAAAATTCACAGTGAATATTACAAAACAATATATGATTAACAGTTCGTAAGTACGTAACTTGTCGGTCGGTCGATGTAAGCCCTTGATGTTAGCATGATATTATAACCAATGTATCATTGATAAATACTACCATGTAGTACACCGTTATTGTTCCAAAAGTAGCTGCGACAATTAATAATTCAGTTTAAGGCTGCTTTTCCTTCTCCTCTCCATCATACTGTTCAATACCAAGCAGGAGATTTACCAACTACAACCTTTCATACTCTCAGTGGCTGTTTTAAACTTTCTTCAATTACTAGCATAAATTTTCACTAACAAACTTGTAAAACATTTGACTGAGTTCCAAATAAGTAGTTTTACTCTAGACTCCAATTCTACGAAGAAATGTCTAACAGTTTATGCTTCATTAAAATGGGCATCCTAGCTACATTTTCTTTCACAAACAAATCGGATAGAACGACAATCTAGATGGACACCTGATTCAATTTGTTTGCTTCTGGTCAAGATCATTTCAGATGATGATAATCATAATAATAATCACTTCATTCAGTAAGGAATCTCAGCACAAAATATAGGAGTTACAACAAACTTCTTATTTTATAAACATTTAAGGTGTAAATATTTAAAATATGTAAATCAAGCTTTTAAATAAGCAAAGATGGGTAGTGGCTAGCATTGGAATCCAGGACGCGCGTTTCATCCTATTTGGGACTCGTCAGCTTGACGTACTTGCATCTCAGAGTTGATGTTCACTCTGGTGTTGTGACTTTATGTCCGGCTTCTTATCAAGTGATTTGTCCACCAATCCAAATACGACTTATACAATATTAGCACTGTGCGAAACCAATGAAGTTCGACCGGTATGAGCAGCCTAGCGTCTTTACTGGTCCTATGTCCACCTAGCCCGTCCACTTGAATCCAGAACACCAATACCAGCTTCCACTATGCGAATCGAATCATTTATTTCAGACATACTAGGTTTATATATCACACAAACAGACCGCAACGCACCATAAAATAGGAAATAACATTTGTACACAATAAAGCCAAAAAGTGGCTGTGAGCGTGGGAGGCAGTAGTTAATAAACTGAACATAGCTTAAGAACAGTGAATCGTACAATAATAAACAAGGGTCAAAACAAAGCTTATAACAAGGGGAATATAAATATAAATAATCTAGTTACTGAATATTTATACCACGAGAATATACAAATAATATTTGTTCATTAATAGGTCTCAGTCGTTACTCGTAATGTAGTCTTCACTGGGATATAACACTACGACTCGAACCCAGTGTCATTCGCTTCAAACGCCATCGCATTATCCACTCAGCTACTGAGTCCTGATAGCCGCTTGCTTGTGCAATGTGGTGAATTTGAATTCACTTGGTACTGTTTTGCTTGTATCTTCCCATTGCGGTTTAAGACTGCAATTGATCAGTCAGTTATTGGCATATGTGCATACTGTGCGTATGCCTCGATATTGCTGGATGTACCATCCAGCTGACGAGGCCCAAATAGGACGAAACGCGCGTCCTGGGTTCCACTGCTAGCCGCTATCCATCTTTGCTTATAAAAGCTTGTGAATTAAGGCAATATCGATGCGTACGCACAGTATACACATATGCCAATAACAGATTGGTCAATTGAAGTCTTAAACCTCAATGGGAAGATACAAGCAAAACAATACTAAGTGAAACTTTTAAGTAGTAATTAGGAACCATTCATATTCATCCAAAATTTTTATGATCAACCTTCTTCCCGTAACACATTTGTTCATCCATTGATATATTAGATATATAAATTCTAATTGCTGAAAACTTCCCATTATATTAAAACTGTTGCAATAGCTCCTCATTTTTGCGTGTACACTTAATTTGTAAACAAAATTAGTCAGTGAGACTATAATTTATGAACGACCTTTGAGCGATGCTAGACTGACCTTGAAAGTGTCCATCTACTTAATAGAGCTAAATGACGGTTATAAACCTGTGTGAAGGATAAAGATTATGATTTACAGTTGATGGCTGAGGTAAGGAATTAGATTTAGGGTTTTCATCACGAACTGACATCAGCTCTAATGCCTAAACTCTATTTAGCCAAATGGATGAATTGATTTCGGGCCAAAACTCGAGACTTGTTATCTTATACGTGATTGGTTCGTCCATAAAT